GCTATGGGAGGTTATACAACTGGGATACTTGCCACGTGGTTCGGAATCTCTTCTCATGTTCAGATGACAATTATGATTTTCAATATGGGAATGCAAGCGGTGGCAATATTTCAAACGTTTCTGGCGAAACATCAAGCGATTGTAAGCATTGATAGAAGAAGAGTTTTGAGGAAATTGTTCTACTGGCGACTGGTGGGAATTGGTTTCTTTCTCACAATAGTGACAATTTGGTTGTATTATTTGGGCGATATCTCCAAGGAACAGCAAATTGAGTATATCAGAAAGGTTTGATTTTTCGAATTAAGGCTAACAACTGAAGAATGATTCCAGAATATTCCCAACTTGGAACAAATTCTAATGTCCAATCCCAGTCTCGACATCTATGATTGAAATGCGAACCCTCTAATCTTATACGCCTGCTGTATGTTATTCTTCGGACCTGTCCTCGGATTCACATCAGTTTTCGTACTGTCATTCGATATCATTTTTATCCTCAGACGTCATAAATCTGTTTCATCCAATCGAAATATAAAACAGCATCGCGACATTTTTCGATCGATTTTTTCGCAATAATATTCGGAAAATAGATAACTTTTAACACATTTTAATGCAATAAAAATTTCTGGTCGGAGTCCCTCTTTAATTCATCTGCATGGATAGCTGTGGCGAATTGTCTGATGATGGTGGTAAGCTAACTCTTTTGATTCTGAATACATCAAATAGTTTTTCTAGACATCATCAATTTTTTTTGTTCTTTACCTTGGCTCGAAATGCTACTTAAACATCAGAAAACACCTGAGTCTGCAGTCAGAAACCTCAAAGTTCTCAGCTAATCTCCAGAAGCAAATTTTTAACGCGTTGGTTATCCAAACTATAATTCCAGTCGTACTTATGTATCTGCTGATATTGGTGTTCTTTTTGTGTCCCATGATTAATGTGAATTTGGGATATTCGAGCAGATTTGTGTCCGATATGGTAGCGTTGTACCCGGTTATTGATCCATTACCGAACATGTTTATAATCAAAACCTACAGAAAAGGGATTATAGGTAAAAGGAAGGACTTAGAGGATAGTTGAAAGAAATACCATTGTTTGAGAAATGTTCAATTGTTGTGGGAGGAAACAGGAGGTTGGAGGAAACTCGTTTTCTGCTAAACTGGGAACCATTTAGCAGGATTAGGATGTTTGTCAGACCTCCGGCGATTTGACTTCTGGCTGGTCCGCCAGCGTCGCGACACTAATTCAAAAATGTTTTGTGATCTCTGAAATTTGAAAAAAGTTTTTGAGTTTAAAATTCTGAAAGTGAGAAATTTTCAAAAAAAAAAATTTTTTTATGTTTTTGGATTTTACAGCTATTCTCATGCAAAATTTCAAGTCAATTGAGCTATTTTGAACAAAGTTATGAATGTTCGAAAAAATTCTCCTCACCACTTCTCGCCACTGTACAAGAAAAAAAAGAAGAAAAGTTCATAATAGAGTGATATAAGAATAATGTTTCAGTCTTCCATGAGCTGAGATACAGTAAACACTAGCATGACATCCTTTAACTTTCATCTTCGAGCCGATTTATCTTGATGCCTTTGATATCAAAAAGTGATTGACTGAAAAAATAATATTTTTGATTTTATAATGAACATTTTGTTAGTTGGTCACTTTTTGCTACTTTTGTCTCTTTTTTCTTTTACAGAAGCTGGGTTATGCTCGGTCGAAGTTAAGTGATCTTCTAGTTTTCTACATAAACCAACGTCTAGATCTCCTGTCAGTTCTCTTGTCGATTTTTTATTTATTTATTTATTTATTTATTTCAACGAAGGGGAGAAAACCACTAACACGTGAAATGTCTATGAAACTAGGAGATATAACAGGGACATACATTTGTATTAAATGGGAGATGGAGGAAAAACCGAGTTAGTAATTAGTTGAATTCAAGACAAGAAAATGTTTTAGATCACAGGATAATAGTCGATTTTTGAAAGCCGCTGACGAGGGCTTCACCGGAAACACTTTGGCGGGTAAAGAGTTCCAGCATCTGATTACTCTATTAGAGAGAAATTGAGAAGATATTTTTGTTGAGTTTTTGATAAGTGATTTGAGATAGTATTTGTGATGTCGCAATGATCCAGCATGATTAAATATTTCGAAAATTGGAACCTCCATGATAATTTCTTTGGAAACAATAATTTTATTTGTGTAAACCAAATCATTATAGAGCCTGCGATACTCCAAGGAACTTAGCTGACATTCTTCCAGTGCTTCAAAGTATGAAGTGTATGCCATCCTGAATTTTTTGAAAATTCTGAAAACAAATGACTTTTGCACCGATTCCAATTTTATAATATGATCCTTTAGGATTGGAGAAGTGACTATCGTTCCATATTCGAGTAAAGGGCGTATGTAAATTGTATAGCATTTTATTAAAACACTCCACGATGCGTTTTTTAGAATGGAAAAGAACATGTTGATCCTCTGATGTGATTTCCGAATAATCAATTTTTCAATTCTTCCCTTCGGGAACCTCCATACAGCAAGATTAGTCATTCAATTAGGAATAAAATCGAGAAAACCAATTATTATAAAATTCAATTTTTATAAATAGATAATATTAAAATTTACTGAACATAAAAGAAAAAAATCAAATTTACCTGGAAGGTAGTCTAAAAATTTGTTTAACCATCAAACTACTGTTCAAGGAAAATATGTGTTGGAACTGCTCGAGTATCTTGTGAAATGTAATGAAAATGTATAATCACCTGTTTTTCCTGATAATTCTGTCTTATTCAACACTTTTCCTTTCTAACAACTTTGATTTTATTCTCATTATTTCACCACTCCATGAAAGTCGACCTTCACCCTCAGTTGCCCGCTGTTTTAACAGTTCTTCTTGATATTTCTGGAACTGTAGACGTTTTCACAAACTCCCTAGTTGTGTATCTAGTCATTTTCAAAAGTCCCGCTCTCAAAAGGTTTCGCTATTATCTTTTATATTCTCAATTAAATACCGCGGTAGTAGATGTGTACTTGGCGTTTTTGATGAAACCAGTGCCTATTTTCCCTGCTATGGGAGGTTATACAACTGGGATACTTGCCACGTGGTTCGGAATCTCTTCTCATGTTCAGATGACAATTATGATTTTCAATATGGGAATGCAAGCGGTGGCAATATTTCAAACGTTTCTGGCGAAACATCAAGCGATTGTAAGCATTGATAGAAGAAGAGTTTTGAGGAAATTGTTCTACTGGCGACTGGTGGGAATTGGTTTCTTTCTCACAATAGTGACAATTTGGTTGTATTATTTGGGCGATATCTCCAAGGAACAGCAAATTGAGTATATCAGAAAGGTTTGATTTTTCGAATTAAGGCTAACAACTGAAGAATGATTCCAGAATATTCCCAACTTGGAACAAATTCTAATGTCCAATCCCAGTCTCGACATCTATGATTGAAATGCGAACCCTCTAATCTTATACGCCTGCTGTATGTTATTCTTCGGACCTGTCCTCGGATTCACATCAGTTTTCGTACTGTCATTCGATATCATTTTTATCCTCAGACGTCATAAATCTGTTTCATCCAATCGAAATATAAAACAGCATCGCGACATTTTTCGATCGATTTTTGCTCAATTTTTAGTGATATCTTTGTGTTTTTTACCCCCAACTACACTCATTATTTTTATCATTTTTGAAGTTCCAAACACTCTAGGTTGGTTGGTAGAGTTTTTTTTGAAAAAAAAATTGCCCTAGGAAAAATTAGGTCATGACCTAGAAAAAAATTAGGTTATGATCTAGAAAAATTAGGTCATGACCAAGAAAAAACTACGTCATGACCTAGAAAAAACTAGAAAACTAGGTCATGACCCAGAAAAAATTAGGTCGCGGCCTAGAAAAAATTAGGTCATGACCCAGAAAAAATTAGGTCATGACCTAGAAAAATTAAGTCGAGGCCTAGAAAAAATTAGGTCATGACCTAGAAAAATTAGGTCGTGACCTAGAAAAATTAGGTAATGACCTGGGAAAATGGGAAAAAAAATCAGGACGTGACCTAGAAAAAATTAGGTCATGACCTAGAAAAACATTTGGTCGTGACCTAAAGAAATTAGGTCACGACCTAGAAAAATTTAGATCATGACCTAGAAAAAATTAGATCATGACCTAGAAAAAATTAGGTAAAATTAGGACCTAGAAATCCCTATTTTCCACGTGATTTTTTATAAATCGTATTTTATTTTCAAAATTTACTCGTTGGAAAAATTGTTGGTCACGTAAATTTCAAATTTTTTTCGGAAAGTTCATGCTCATTTTTTTGGTTCCTATGCAAGATATCGAAACTATGTCAACTGCTAAATATTGGTGTTATTATGATAGGAAACTTCTCAGTGGGTACCTTTCTCAAATCTTTCACAGGAACCGAGCTAAAGCGACGAACAGCTAAATATATAGGTTTAATTGCGCCGAAGGCGCACCAGCCAGCTGTTCGAAGCGCCGGAGGCGCGGCAAACAGGCTGGTTGTGAATAAAACTTTGTCGACTGACAAATTTCAATTAAGGAAATTCTAATATTGCTATTTGAACCTTTTACAGTGCTGAGCTCCACAATGATATGCACATTTTCTTTTCATTCGTTCCTTGGCTCGATGGTTTTGATTTTTACATACCCTCCTTATCGGAAAGCATTAATCGGAATCGTTATCAGAAAACCAAAAACATCTAAAGTGTCTGTTATCATTTGAACTTGTGTTTCTTTGATATCAATTTTAAAAAATAGTTTTTGAGAAAAAAAAATGTCGTTTTGCTTCAAAAGTATAATTTGTTGTCCGAGCCCAACTTCGGAACAAAGTCTTTGTAGTATTCAATAAATCATTATGTTTAATAATTTACAAAACCAATATTCACAATTGATTGGGAGCTTAACAATAGATTATATACACAGTTTTACAGTGTTAATGTTACAAGGTTGTGACAGATTCGGCATTTTTGAGATACGCTTATCAGAAAAAAACTGGACCCTTAAAATTTGGCCTTCTCAAAGTGCCGAAGAAATATTTCAGGATTTTTAGCCTGAAATTACCTTCTGTTTCCTTACGAAAAACCAAAACATTGAAAAGCGTCGTAGACTGAAAAATTATTGAACTCTAAAGTTGGATGGTTTATAAATGTTGAGGACAAAAAAACATGAAAACCCAAAAATTCTAATGTAAGTACTAAGTATTTTTAGAACCACGATACATAAGGACCAAAAAATTCTAAAATTATTTTTGAAAAAAATAGCGAACATCTGATTTCGATTTTTGAACAAGAACTTATTTCATTCATTTGTTTCTAAAAATCAAAATCTGATTAAATACCTTAAAAATCGTCAAAAAGCAATTTTTCGAAATTGAGTGTCTACGTTGATTTTATCTCTTTTTTCTTACACCGGTTCCATTGTTCATGGATTTCTAATCTGAAAAATTCAGAATCTCATCTATTCCGTACGGGAACGTTTTCATTCTACAGCCTTTTCCGATCTTTCGATAGCTTCTAAGATAGACTTCTCGCTCTTCCTATTTTCTTTGAAGTACTTTTAAAATATTTCAGGAGATGAACCAAATAAAACAGAAACCATCGAAACGGCTGGACCTTCAAGGTATCCGTGCTCTGGCAATTATAGTGGTCCTTGGATTCCATTTTTATCCAGAATACTGTCCAAATGGATACCTCGGGGTTGATCAGTAAGTTTATCTCAATATCTATTGACCAGTATATGCCGACATGTTTTTTTCAGATTTTTCGTCTTATCCGGATTCCTAATGTGTATGTTGTTAAAACGTTCCGAGAATCAATTACCGTGTCAATTAGTCAGTCTGTTTTACTCCAAAAGATTCAAACGAATCCTCCCATTATATCTGCTTGTTATCTTCCTTTGCATGATTTGCCTATACTCATTTTTCCCGGATACCGCTATCGAAACTAATCAGGAATCTGCTATCCACGCTCTTCTTTTTGTGTCCAATCGGCAGAAAACAGTCGCGGAGGATTATTTTCAAATGGTAAAACTTTCGAAATAATCTCAACAACCAAAACTTTTAGTTATTTATCGCAGTCGACATCTTCACCCATACTTGGTCTCTATCCGTGGAGATTCAGTTCTATTTTTTGGTTCCTTTCATTTTTCTACTAGCTACCAAGCTTCCCGAAAAATTTCAATTAGGATACTATGGAATAGTTGGATTCATCTCATTCGTTCATTTTTCCACAATCCCCCCTTCGGTAGCATTCAATAGCGTTTTCGCCAGAATCTGGCAGTTTTTAATCGGTAACATTTGCTTTCAACTATAGCTATAATTATCCCCAGCCGATTTTCAGGTATGGTTGTATATCTCCTTGGTCTATCCATATCCGAGTCTCAATATCGACTTCTCAATAATCCAGAAATTTTGGAATCCAAGCAGCTTCTAGAAGACGAGGAGAATGAAGAAGCTGACTGTTGTCCCGAGGAGAACTTCGCGAACTTTCTAAAATACTCTCAGTCAGTGGCATTTGTTTCTCTAATCTCTTTGATATGCATCGCTATGTTCCCTATGACGCTACCTTCTTTAGTGGTTAGGTATGTTGCTGTAATATATAAATTACACGAATTCAAATGTATTTTAGACCACTAGTAACAATTGGCACTGGACTATTAATGTTGTTATCGGAAGATAATTGGATACTATCTAACAAGTTATTGACCTATATCGGAGATATCTCATATTCCTTGTACCTGATTCATTGGCCCATTTATGCATATTGGAAATTAACTTGTGAAAGAAACCAAGCTCGTGAGTATTAACTTATTTGTTTTCCAATTTAAGGTAATCTTTCAGTTCTTCTCCTCGCCCTGATCTCATCATTGATTCTTGCCGTGATTACATTTGAGACTTTTGAAAAGTGGTATCTAAAACTGTCATCTACCAATATAGGAGTACTCGTGGTGGTGTTATTTTTCCTAAGCATTGTTGTTATAAAAAAAGATGAAGTTACGGATTTCATCGATTCAATCGGAAAGAACAAGTCAAGTCTAGACGGCGTTACTGACGATATGACCGCTGGTAAGTTATCTATTCCTTCCAGAAATTTTTCCAGCACTATCTCAAAAATTTTCAGTCGATGCCGAGCGCCTAAATTACCGATGGAGCGTGAATGATAATCGAAATCTATTTGATCCTACTTGTGTATACGAGAATCCGGAAACTGCGTTAGGCTGGTGTAGGCATACTGTAGGTCAGAAAGAATTTGATTAATAAAAAAGAACGTTTTAGGGATTATCGGGTGAATTCAAGATGGCCACGATTGGAAACAGCTGGAATGCGAATCATGCTAAAATGTTCTATCAGGAGTGTGGATATAAAGCAAAGAGTATTATGCAAGGATCGTCTACTGGTTAGTTGGACGATTCTTCATCTGATAAATTGGTCACTATCTTCAACATTTTATTCAGGATGTGAACCCCTCTTCCCTACCGGTCAGATTGAAATGTGCCGACAAAATTTCACGGATTTCGAAGTGCACATTCGTAATGAAAAACCAGACTACGCTTTCATGTTCACAAGGTTTATTGGGAATCGAAATTTCTAATCCCTTTTTGATGCTCCAGGTTCATGTCAATCGGTGCGTCATGGCCGCGAAACGTGACAAGTTTTGAACAAGACTCCATCTACCAAACTATGAAGGGGCAGATGCTGAAATTCATCGAAAATATTAAATATAAATTGTACATTTTGGATGCGATTCCAAGAATCAATAGAAGAACAGTGAACCAAATTGCACAGCTTATAAAAAATGGAACTGATCCAGTTGCCATCGATGTGAGTTGCCGGACAAACCAACACTAATAATTATTGATATCAGAAAATTATGGTCCGTCCACATGGTCATGAAATGGCTCGAAAGCGGCATGCTCAACTGGTGAAAGATTGTAAAGGAAAGTGTGAATTAGTGGATTATGTGCCGGAATTCTACAAGAACGCTACTAAAACTTTCCGATATTTTGATGAGAAGGGATTCTCATATTTCACGACTCCTGAGCATTTATCACCTCATGGAATCGAACATATCAGACATGTTTGGACCGATATTTGTAAAAAATTGTAGTCGTCGTTTTTTGAGGATTGATGATATCGTGATTCTCATCTCATTTTCACTATTGCTAGAACTATTTCAGTTGTTTTCCTATCCAATAAACGAAGTTTAAAAAATATTCAGTTCTTTTCCCAGGTCTATCAGAGCAAATATAGTATTCTCTCAAAACCCGGCAAACCCGGAAAAGGGCCCTCCGAGAGGTTCTTCAAAAATAGGGTCCCTCTAATTGTAGAAGGTTTCACGGTGTTCGCTGCATGACTAATACATTTTTAGAACTAACAACATCCTTTCTTTTATGATGTTCGGTTTTTTCTAGTTAATTTTATCAGCTGCCAATGGGCTGCAGAGAGAAAAACAATCAGGAACAAATCATGTTCGTTAACTAATCAAAATTCATCATTAAAGAAAACAATTTTCTAAAAAGCAACAGGTGTAAATACGATATTAAGTAAAAATTGATTCCATTTTCCAAAAAACTGCCATTCCAAATGATCCAAATAGAACTGAACCCCTATCTTCCGGTTATTGCAAACACCCTTTGCCGGTTGCTTAGATTTAGTCACAAATTGTCCTGTGGTTTATCTGATCCTGTTTAAAAGTTCCGTTAAGGAGGAATTCATATACTATCTTCTTTATATACAACTAACGAATGCCACCACTGATTTTTGGTTGGCATTTCTGGCTAAACCTGTTCAAATTTATCCAGTTATTGGAGGACATTCTCTTGGTATATTGTATAGCTGGTTTCGGATCTCGTGTCATGTGCAAGCGACTGTCCAAGTATTTTTCATGTTTCTTCAAAAGTGCGCAATCTATTGTGCAGTTCTCAAAAAACATCAAAGTATCGTCGCAATCAATAATAACTGGGTGCTCAGTAAATCTGCATACTGGGTATCTATTCTCTTGGTTCATTTATTCGCTTTGGTTATAGCGATCCTTTATTACAATGGTAATCTCACGAAAGAACAGCAGTTAGAATATATAAGACAGGTAAAACATATTGAGAAAATATATCATTTATCGGCTCAAAAACGTATAGACCAATGGTAAAACAATAGAGGGAACCCATCCAAAAGCAATCGCTGAGTTACAGTAATCCCGATCGTTGCAAAAACAGTAGTACCATCTAAAAAGTCTCAGTCTAGAATCTCACCAAAATCTGGAAGACGTTACCGTTTAACTGGCGCCGATCCATCCTGATATGGGAAGCAGGTTTTGCCTTGAATGTAACTCAAGTTAGTCGGGTTGACTTGAATCTGGGTTTGGTAGAAGCAGTCGGACTTGTAGGTCACGTAATTGACACCAGGTGCCATTGGATCGATTATTTTGACGCAATACTGAAATTAATTAATTAAAGGTGGGGGGACATGAAAAAAAATAATGTTCTCGAAATTTCGTTTAAATATGCCCCTCGAGGAGTTGAACTTGTGAAGGCGATGATTGGGGGTGCGGCGCCGCTACCGACTGAGCTACACGGGCAAAAAAAAAGCGGTCGCCCGATTGCATACATAAAGGCGAGGACGACAGCTGTACGCAGAGTGACATTTAGCGTTGTACACCGTCACGGTAGAATGCATACTCTGGCCCCAAAAAACCCCCGTAAAATCTCCTGTCCCCCCACCTTTAATTAATTTTTTTGCTAGCGTGATTGGGTACCTGAGTGGTCTGACACTGATTGTTTCGGTTGTCACAAGTAGCAGACGTCGAATATCTGAAATGGAGGAGCTTTTGAATTCTCAAAGCGACTTTTGAAGCTTACCGTAATGGATAGTCGCCATGCCAACCGTTACATTGATAGCAGTTGAGAGCATAGGTATCTGGAAAAAATACTATTGGCTGAAAGCTTAGTGTCCTACCCTACATATCACTTATATAAACACTTTGAGCTCAATTATCTTGGTTCCATTGAGAGATATCAAAAACATTTTAACTGATAAATTGTTCACCATAATATCAGCAACATTTCATCAGTTGACATATTTTTGATATCTTTCAAAATAACCGAGAGCAATGAGCTCAAAATAAAGAATGGCGGGTATCTATTTGAGTATTTTCCTGAACACATTTTTGGAAAATTCGAATTTCTGTTTGAATCAGAGAGTAAAAAATAAATCTATGAAAAAATACTTAATTCGACAAGACAAGGTCTTCAACGTAATAAATTATTTCAATTGCGCTAAATTATTAAGCCACGGGTCGCAGCTACCGCTGCTCTTGAGGCCTAATTATCCTGGGCTCCTCTGTAAGATACTAAAAATTTGTAAGGTTTAAAGCTAACTTTAGAAGGTCCTTCTATTACAGGTGTCGCGGTAAACTGTCATAATCAAGTAAGACCACAACACCCTTATTATCAAACTCAAGCTTATAGACAATTCAAAAAAAAACTAACCTATCGAACCAAAAACAAGTAGAATCCAAATTTCGAGCTGCATCGAAAACGTAAAATCTTGAGGATGAGGTGTTTCGAGAAGGGCAAAAAAGAGAGAATAAAATAACAAGGCGGAAAAAGCGCGCGCTTCGTCTCCAACCTGGTGGTGGTCTTCGTTGAGATGGAGAACAATAGAATTCGGAAATATGAAACGTATTGTTGCCAAAGAAGAGAGAGGTCCCTTTTTGCCGTAGCATCCCTTTGTTGCTAATGGTGATGGTGCATAGCATAGACATCAACGTTCAGGAAAAGCCGAGACGCCCTAAGGGTGTTTCCGTTTAGTCGCTAGGGAATTCACGTGCCGGGAAAATAACATTTTTTTGAGAAGAAAATCTAAAAACCACCGACTGAGCTAGGGAGCGGCAAGGTCGGCTCGCCTATCATATTTGCTCTTTTAGAGGCCGATTCTATACGTTCATTTTGCTCTCAATTATATCGTTTTCTATTAGAGATATCAACATCGGTCAACTGATAAATCAATTATCATAATATAAGAAGGAGTGATTTTCAAAATTTTCAATTTTCATCCCTAATCACTTCGATTTCCAAAATTTCTGTGAAGTTTCAGTAATTTCGCATTTTCTTTGCGGAGCGAAAAAAATGTTCAAATTTACATAAAAAACGATAAAGCCTTTTCGAGTAGTATTTCCTGTACTTGCAATAGAATTTTTTCGATACACAAATATATATTCGGTGATAAAAAAGAACACTTGATGCACAGAAATTGAAAAAAAAAATTGAAGGCTTCGAATTCTGGGAATTTGGAAATTTTTCGTGATTCACAGAGATTGAACGTTGCAATTTCAGGGATTTTTCACAGAACTCGAACGGTTCGAGTTCTGGGATTTTGGAAATTCACGTGATTCACAGAACTCGAAGCTTTCAATTTCTGCTTTTGAACAACATTTTTCCACCATCTCAACCAATTTCTCCTAAAGTACTGTATGTGAAAATAGTAAGTTTCGAATAAAAATGTTTTTTTACTTCAACCCTTCCAATACGATTCAGAATTTTCAACTAGTTTTTCAGCCAACATAGAGCTCCCATGGAAAACAATTATCTTTAAGCTCGAAGGATCCGTTTTTTGGAAAACAACAAGTCCAACGATAGTTTCCTAATATTCATTTTGCTTTATCACGACCCTTCTTGAATCCCTACCCCCCCCCCCCCATGCTTTTCCAGAATCCCAGAAATTGAAAGCTTCGATTTCTGTGAATAACGTGAATTTCCAAAATCCCAGAACTCGAACCGTTCGAGTTCTGTGAAAAACCCCAGAAATTGCAACGTTCAATCTCTGTGAATCACGTAAAATTTCCAAATTCTCAGAATTCGAAGCCTTCAATTTCTGTGCATCACGTAACTTTTCGCAAAATTGAAAATCAACAGAAATAATGTAATTAAAACCATATTTTTCATGATTGCGTTGAAATAAAGTATTTCTGGACAAAAACACATCGACATTTAACAGTAGTTTAGTATTTTCTGTGACGAATTACAGAAATTTGGACCATTTTTGTTTATTCCTTCGAGAATTAAAAATTTTGAAAATCGCTACTTCTTATATCGATATTTTTTTATCAGTTGACAGATTTTTGATATCACTCAAAAGAACCGAGATAATTAAGCTCAAAGTTCACGCGTTTTTGCGGGCTTCTATTAGAGCAAATAGGGTTATCCACAAACTGTCCCACAAGTTTTTTTCTTGTCCCACAGGGTTTTATTGGAATGGTGCCCTGCTTGGTAGTGTGCGTAGCTCAGACGGTAGTTTTGCAGATGCCTTAATATTTCGCCGACAGGTTCCGTTTTATGGAAGAACAAAAATAAATGCTCATATTCCACCTGTCCCGCTTTTTTCAAAACTCTATTTTCAGAACGTCCCTCCACTCGAACAAGTCCTATCAACGTACCCCAGTTTGGAAGTCTACGACGCAAAAACCAGCCCATTTCTTGCATTTCTTGCAATTTCCGTGTTACTAGATTTATCCATGACATTCCCTACAACAGCACTCAATTACTAATTCCAGTAATTTAATCAACCAACAGCGAGCGAGTTTTTGTTCGTTGATCTCACAGTACATCGTGACTCTATTTTGTTTTGTACCCGCTGTTTCCAATCTTTTTCTTCTGATTTCCAATGCTTCAAATGGTCAAGGTGAGACTTCAATTGAAACTAGTTATGCAGTACCTTTTTGCAGTTTGGAGCACTATCATGGTGGTTATATTCTCATTCCACTCGTTTTTGGGATCTTGGGTACTTATTTTGACGTATCCACCATACCGACGAATTGTGTTTGGACGTATTGAATTGAAACAGAAGAGCTCGACGGTACAAGTTTCAGTATTAGGTTAACTATCTTTTTTGAATAAACTTTTTGGAATAAATTTTCATTGTCAAAACATTTATTTTACACAAAGAACATATTTGGCACTTCCGTTGCAGGCGGTTCCAGAAAACTGCTTTCCTCCAGATTTGAAAGTGTAGAAGGAGCACCAGTCGTCATTGCGGATATTCACCCAAGCTGTGTCCCAAGCAACAGTGTTGACTCCAAAGATCTCTGGATTTCAAATAGTTTCTGAAATCGGAATTTAAACCACTCACGTTCTACAAATGTCTTATTGGCTCCACTCGGCATGCCCATCATTTGAGCGCCACAAGCGATACAAGCAGATTTGGAAGCATCCCAATCGGAGTTACTAGAAAGTAACTGAAACATTTCTGAATGGAAATATAGAAATTTTAGTTAATCTCACAGCATAATTCAATCCCTGAAATGGTTTAAATTGGCACACCGCATGAACTATTTGGCCCTGATCCACAAGGAAAACGACAGCGAGTAGAGACTGTATCTTCATGTTTGGCCGGACTCGTTTGTTATGATGTTCCATTTTATACAGAAAAAATTTGTTTTTCAGTTTTGGATTTGAATATATTATTATGATACAGTGATGTTTGACACTACCATTCTGTTGGAAATAACAAAAAACATTTTTTTTAGCTTTGTTGTTTCGTTTTATGAGCTTTGTCACTCCTAATAGTCCTATTCCCCTTTTAAAAAATTTAAACGTTTCCATCTGTTTTTGTGAAAACAAAGGTTGACCGAGTTGTTTTGAACTGATAAGATCATGATAAAAGAGAAGGAGTCTGATAGACAGATTTATGTGTCGTCTCGTGTTCAGCCCGGATCCGCCAGTTGTCAATAACGCAAGAACCGATTGCAGCTCACTAGGTGCCCTTTTTAGAAGAATGACGTCATTTTTCCGAGACTCACGGAAAAATAATAGCAGTGACATATCGAAAATGAAAAATCAAGTTAAACCAATGTGCAGCTTGGACTGCAAGAAAAATTCCTGGACCAATCTGAATTCACCTGCTCCTGCAAAGTGCTTCTATTTTTTTGCCCCGTCCACGACAGCGGCCTGATTTTAAAGGCCGCGGCCGGCCTTGGCTTGAACATCATTGTTCGAAAAGATATGCAGTTAGAACTGAATTCCAGCCTTCCCAAAGTCGCTAACATATTCTTCAATATCGCGGGATTTGTGGATTTCTTCACAAACTCTCTTGTAATTTATTTAATTATATTCAAAAGCGCGAAATTGAAATGCTTTCGATTTTACATGTTGTATTTTCAAATCTCTACTGCTATTATAAACTTTTATCTAACATTTTTAATGAAACCGATTCCAATTTTTCCCGTTATCGGAGGTTATACAACAGGATTACTGTTCAATAGCTTTGGAGTTTCTTCTCATATTCAGATGACTATTCAAATACTGCTCATGGGAATTCAAGCGTGTGTAATATTCTGTTCATTTCTTAGAAAACATCAATCAATTGTCACTATCGATAAGAAGTTTGAACTAGAGAAGTTGACTGACTGGGGGATAATTGTGTTCGTTCACATTGAAATGTTAATTTTTACACTGTTATTTTATTCTGCCAGAGTTTCCAAAGAAGATCAGAAGGCTTATATAAGAAAAAATATTCCGAATCTCGAGGAAGAGCTGTCCAAGTGTCCAAGTTTAGAAATTTATGATCGTGAAGTTAATTAGATTATCATTTGGTCGTTATCTGTAGTCATCGTCTTTGTCACAACCATGATAACCCTTATTTCATTTATATCCCTTCAAATATTTCTTACTTCAAAAAATCACAAACAAAATAATATCTCGAACAGAAACATTAATCAGCATCGACGAATTTTCCACTCAATTTTTGCTCAATTTTCAGTTGTTACATTATGTTTCATTCCACCAATTGTTGTAGTTTGGTTTCTATTTTTTGAAACACCAAACACTCAAGGTAACATTTAAAAAAACAAATTGACAGCCTTTATTGATTTTTATAGTGATGAGTTCCGCTATGGTTTTCACATTTTAGCTTCACTCGTTTTTCGGATCGCTGGTGCTGATATTGACTTATGAACCATATCGAAGTATCTTGTTTGGTTGTTTTATTAAATTTTTCGGACTTTAACTAATTGTAAGTTCCAATTTACCTGAAAACTTCAATATTCATATTTTCGATTTTTAGAATTTTTAAATGTTTGTTCTTCAATAAAAATTGTGTTTCTGAGTCAAGCCACGGAAGAGTTCTTATGAAGCCAGCCGTGGTCGGCCACGGCTTTCTCGGCTTTAGAGCTGAAAGTGGCCGACCGCGGCTGGCCTTAATTTCACACAGTTTTGCTTTTAATACACCAGTATCATTTCACATACATCTGTTGAAATCAGATAATAGTGAAATATGAAAAGAATACGATCTAGTCTTTTCCAAATGTCCCCCAACATTCCTGATCTTTCAAAAGATATAAGGACATTTGAATAGTTTCTGATTGCAATCAGAAAATGCAAAATAGGAAAAGAACATTTTCAATTATTTTTATTTTGAAGGAAAATCATATTTTTCTAGGGAATCTGTACTCTACAGGTATCGTGCTCTAGAGATATCGTACTCGAAAGGTATCGTGCTCTTGAGTTACCGTACTCTACAGGTATCGTACCTTAGTGGTACCGTACCCTAGAGGTATCGTACTCTTGAGGTATCGTACTCTAGAGGTATCGTATCCTCGAGGTATCGTATCCTCGAGGTATCGTACTCTTGATGTACCGTACCATTAAGATACCGAACCCTCGAGGTACCGTATCCTTGAGATACCAAACATTTGAGGTACCGTCCTCAAAATGTATCGTATTCTTGAGATATCGTGCCCTTAAGATACCGTATCCTTAAGTGCAGGAATGAAGGAACAAAAATGAATAATATAACTGTAAGCCCCTCAAGAAGTTGAAATTGTGGGCTCACCGTTTGAGGTGCTGGGTTGTTACCAGCTGAGCTAAAATACATACCGTAATTGAATACTGTAACTCTGAAAAATTCCGAAAAAATCTAAAATTCCGAAAAAAAATCTCCTGTCTCTCCTCCATTGAACTACGGTAGACAACGTTTTCTTAAAATCGTTTATGGCGTCCCTTCATATTTTATTTGGAAAAAAAAAGTGAAAAACTTCAAATTCAAGAATCTTTCCCCTGCAAAATTACATTTATCATATTTCGACAAAATCCATCATCCCCCTCCAGCGCAGCATATCCCAAAATTACGTGCCATATGAAAACCGATCATCTCTTTTCGTAGTCACCTACAAAAGATCAAATCAGTTTGTGCGATCTGTGCTAGAATTTAGTTTTTAAAGGCTTAAAATGAAAATCCCCTGTTTCAGTAAAAATCTGTCTCACATCCTTTTTACGTTAGTGATCACCGATGTCTTATTGGACGATATCTTTGAAAGATGAGATTCCTGTGTCTTGAGAAAAATAACAAACAACATCTTTCTCTGATTTCTATCTTGACCATTGGTCCTCTAGGAAATTAATAATACAGACACAATACTTTATTCAGAAACCATAAATTGGCAAGGAAGCTTAAACTACCTGCATTTACGAACAGATACACATGAGATAGATATGAAAGATAGGGAGGGAGATAGGGATGATTTGAGATTTTTGAAGTGTGACAGAGGGGAATGCTTGAAAGGTAAAAAAGGCCCGTAAAATTGAAAGAGCTCAATTGAGGAAGATATTTCTGACGCATGGATCGAACGTCATCAGATGGAAGATGTCCGAGACGCGTGTATGATTGTAGATTGCTTTGACGGCGCAGCGAATCGAGCTGACCAAGAGGATGATCTCTCCGAAGCGTTCGGCTCCGTTGTCTGGAGACTTTTGGGCGGAATGCTCCATCAGCTCCGACATGCACTTGTTGTGAAGATACTCAACGTCCTTGTAGACAACTTGACCCGGGAAGGAGGCTGAAAAAAAGAGGATTAGGAAAGTTGGAAAACTGGAATGTTTGAATCTAAATTTTAGATTTGCGGGATTGTCAAAAACTCATTAATTTTGTTTGATTTTGGTTGAAAAAAGGCAACTTTGAATGTCTAAAAACATACCGCTTTTTCTCTCAAAAAAGCCCACCCCATACCTCCTTTGAGCTCTATTATCTCAGTTTCTATGAGAGATATCAAAAATGTGTCAACTGATAAAATGTTTGTGATATTATGATAAACATTTTATCAGTTGACAATTTTTTCAAATCTTTTACAAAAACCGAGATAAATTGGCTCAAAGTTAGAGGATCTTTTATTTCAGATCTTACGGTATTTTCAGTTGAAAAAAAGCAAATTTGGGTGTCTAAAAACATAATGAACATTATTGGATAGGACTGAAAATTTCAGAATACACTGAACTAATCAAGAGCTTCAAGTTTGTAGTTAACAACTTTACCCTAAAATTTCATCCTGATGAGGTATGCCACGTGGAAGAGGAACTCCAGAAGCCACAGGCGCGCTTTAGAAGAAGGTACACTTAAAAGTGTCATATCGCATTAGGATGAAATTTTACAAAAAAGTTGCCAACTACAAAATTGAAGCTCAATGTTTGTTTAGTAGACCTGACAATTTTTCGACATCCAAAGCTGGCTAATTTTGCCTAAAACTAGTTAAAACTTCTACACTTTTGGTTAGTACTGTAGCTGATCAAACTCACGAGTCAAAAGAAGGACAGTCTTGAGAATGGCACACTCGAACTCATCGATACGGAGCTTCTTGAACGGATCGCTGACACATTTGACGAGCTCATTGACGAATGAGTAGTGGAATCTTTAAAAAAATACTGTTTTTCAGGCCTATCAGATCTTATGGACTCACTCTGCTTTCTTCTGTGCATTCTCCTTCTTTGCATCTTCCTCAGACAACGCGAAGAAGTAGTTCGGGTGCATGAAAGTGTCATTCTGCAGAATCCAGAATCCATCATCCGCTCGTTGCGCTGTTTTGTATCCCTGATCGATGAGCAGAAATCCGAAGCCGAACTCTGACAATACCATGTTCTTGTCTCTCTGACTGAGATTCCGGTACGGCTCAAACTGATTGCCCCACTCGTTGGCGTTCTCCAGTCCCAACTTAAGCACAAAATTGATGTCGTGAGCGCGAGCTCGTCGGTGGTATTTGCCAGTCGACTTCATTTGAACACATCCGATGGTGTCGATCTGATGGATACTGTAGGCCTCGTGCTGGGAGCGCTGGTCGCGTTGGAGATGAACAAGAGCGTCGATGTCGAATACGGAGAGGTCTGCAAAACTTTTAGTTTGAAAAATGGGAATTTTTTATAGAAGCCAAATACAGGATACCATAAAACCGGAAGGTACCACCGGAGAGCCCTTCTATTAGAGGGGGTCCTTCTATTCTTCCAAGCCCCTCTCGGAGGGCACTTCTATTAAAGGGCCCTTCTAATACAGGTTTTACAGTATTTCAGTTTAACAGGGGCACCGTATATGCCCTACTAGCAGACTACTCTATACGTGGACTTTAAGCACAATTATTTTGGTTCCTATAAGAGATATAAAAAATGTGTCTACTGATAAAATATTAAAGATATTAATATTTTGATATCTTTCGAGAGAACCGAGATAATTGGGCTCAAATTGCACGTATCGAGTGGCTGTCACTTAGAGAAAATAAGGTATGTTCCACAGGGTCTATTTTTGAAGACTTATGTAGCTAGCTTCGACTTTTGATAGCAAAATTTCAATTTTTAAAAACATGGAAAAATAAAATTTACCTCCATTATCACTTTCACAACTCGACTGTGGTGGACTAGGCGAGAAGTTCAGCGCGACTTCAATCGACTGGCTCATATCGTCGGTGAGAATGGTTTTGGGCTTCCTGGGACCAAGAAGGTCTCGTCTTTGGATGGCTGGAAAGAATGGAATTAATGAGAGGGACCAAAAAAAAGGGAAGGACATCCCAAAAATGACGGGATTAGCAAATGAGGTGACAATACAAAGGAACAGGTGGTGGATTGAGTGATCGAAGGGGAAACAATACAATGTTTCGATGGTCCCTTCATATTTTGTTTCGATGATCTTTTCAATGATCGCCAGATGTTGTGTGGAATCAAAATAACAGTTTTCTTTTGAGAAGAAAAGGGATATTCAAAATTTTCCATTGTAGATCAAAAAGGTTTTTTTTCGAGAATCAAGTAGATCAAAATTTTTCCCGTATATCATATTTGACTTTTTCAGTTCAGAATTTTTCAATTTGTCTGAAAGTTTCAGATTATACAAAATAAAATTAGAGCTTCATTTTTGTAATTGTCAATTTCTTGTGAAAATCCAACAAAACGAGATAAGCGATTTTCCCAAAAAGTTGTCAATTACAAAAATGAAGCTTTAACTTTGTTTAGTATACTTTGAAAATGTCAGCCAAGTCTGAAAATTCTATATGGCTTTTTGATGACACCAAAGTTGACCATCGTATTTGCTCTAATAGAAATCCACGTACACTTTGAGCTCAATTTTCTCGGTTCCTGTAAAAGATATCAAAAAGCAGTAAACAAATAAATTATTTATCATGATATCATCAATCTTTTATCAGTTGACAGATTTTTGATATCTCACATAGGAACCGAGATAATTGAGGTCAAAATTCATGTATAGGATGGGCTTCCATTCTTGAATATACGGTATCTTTAACTCCGAATTCGAAATATGACTTTTTCCGATACTGTATCCTTCTCTTTTCTTTTAGCCCCATTTTTTCTGAAATTTTTTTCTCCGTTCCTTCATAATCATGGGTCAAATCCCCACCCCTTTACAGTAATTTCTACGCGATTGGTTAGGAAATGGGTACAACAAATAAGGCAAAAGGGAAAGAAAACTGCGTAAAAAAGATTGAAAAGATTGCAGATAGAAAGGTTTTGTATGGATTTTCATGCATGCAAATACGATTTTTAGGTTCAGTGTACGTGTATGTGTAATCGGTGTGTATGTGTGACTGTATGGAGATTGATATAAGCGAGATGCGGGTGTGTTTAGTTTAATCATTAGGAAGTCACGAAAGCTACAAATATTCTTCAACGTTGAGCCAATTTATCTCGGTGCTTGTGGAAAATATCAAAAAGTGGTCTACTGAAAAGATGTTTATTATAATATCACAAGTATTTTATCGGCTTTGTATTAGAGTGCATACGGTATTTCATAGCTCAGCTGGCAGCGGCGCAGACTTTCAAAACTTATATTCTTTGCGAGTCTCAAGAAGTTTTGGGGCTAGATTTTTTATGTATTCTGAACATCAATGTGACTATCGTCGATGCAGTAATATGGCATTTTCCAAAATCAACCACAATCTCACGTTTTTACCCGATCACCCGGAATGCCTGAATTCATCCTGAATTCACCCTGAATTCACCCTGAATTCACCCTGAATTCATCCTGAATTCACCCTGAATTCACCCTGAATTCACCCTGAATTCGTGCAGATTCCCATTTTTTTCCCTCAGCCTCACCTTCCGGTTTCATCCCAACGTGAAAGCATTTGCGCAATCGGCAGCATCTGCATACGCATCGGGACGCTGAAACAAGAAGATAAATTATGCCAGAAGCTTAATCGTTCAAAATACACCTACCAAAAGTGATAACACAATTCCCTTTCTTCCAGCACTTGTACTGACTTTTGTTGATAACAGCTCGTCGAAAAAATACGATGCATCCTAGACAAGCAGGCGCACCATATCTTTTGCCATTCACCGCGTCTCCACAAACGGCACACGCTTCAGATGACGTGGATGGCGAGCTGGACATCGATGATGACGTGGATGCTGTGGATGCTGTGGATGACGAAGATGACGGTCGCGGCACTAGGAAGTGGGTAGTAAGCATCATAGGATGGGATCTGAAAATATATATGGTTGGATGAATGTGTGGAAAAAAATTATGAAAGAAGGAGAAAAAGATCAAGCTGGCGGAGATCAAGAAGTCGAGGCCAAGGATTCAGGTGTCCAGCAAATACGTTTATCATTTTTCGCGGCAGAAATACATGTCTCTTGTTTCATCTTTCGTCTTGTTCACATTATTGTTGCGCTTCTACGTCATCGCGTCCCCGAATCCTTCTTTGTCTATCTGCACTATGTTTATTCGATCTTTCTATTTGTAGGAAGAAGACGGACGGACGCTTATAAGAGTATATACAGTATACAAAATGATAAACGCCACTTGGTTTAATTGATCAACGTTCAAAGAAAGGCGGGAGAAGGGGGGGGGGGGGGCGGTACGTAGGATACGGTGGATGGGTGTTCAGGGTTTTGGAGGTTGGAAATTTCAAATTTTAAAAGAGATAGGTATCTAGGATAGGATTTAAACAAACCAACCGAGGAAAAAAATTATCAAATCTAATTTGAGCTACGAGATCGTCTTTAGATGATCCATTAACAAAGCAGCTTCAAAAGTTTAATCAATTTTAAGCTCAATTATCTCGATTCCTATGAGAGATATCAAACTTTTGTCAACTGGTAAAATATTGGTGATATTATGATCAACAACTGATCAGTTAAAGAATTTTTGATAACTTTTGAAGAAACCGAGATATTTGACTTCGAAGTGCACGTATAGCGTGGGCTTCTGTAAGAGCATTCACGGCAACTTGTATAGGATCTGTTATTAAGGACTAGTCTAACTAGGTTTTAGAAACACGATTACCACTTTTTTGATATTTTTCTGTGCCGAATATAACGCAGAGATCCTATTGATTTCTTAAAAATAGAATTCCAAAAATTAAAAGGAAATCGGATGAGAATCTACGGCGGGTACAGACGTACCGATGCAAGAAAACAAAGATTTGATTCGGAACACTGGGTCGTGGAGTTTGTGAGGGGTCACAAAAGAAAGTGAAGGTAACTGTTTAGAAAATGAGCTAATTATGGAATTTTGGGCGTTTAAGAGGAGCCTATAAACCAAATGCTACTTAATATCGCCTCCTAAAGGCATGCCCTTTTAATAGAGTTTCTCAAAATATTGGGAACTAAATTCAGAGGTTTGAGAAGATTTTTCGGGGTATTATACTATAAATTCTGGGATATGTTAGCACATCAAGTTTTCCCGGGAAATCGTCTTACACCTGGTCTTACGCCTGGATCGAATTGGACCGCATTTCCAAACACAGAAACATCTATTTATTTATTCCTTCCCAAGAAAATTATTTCATGAAAACGTCATACCAAAAGGAGTACGGTCTGGTGATGCTGATCAAAAACAGCAGGGAAACCAGGGAGAGTTAAGCGAAAGTCACAAGACCATTCAACTTTTTTTGGATCTGGTTTGATAGGATTCAGCGAAAAAGTTGTTTTTTTGTTTTGGAAAAAAAATAATTCATTTAGCAAGAACTACAGTAAGACAATCAGCTGATCTATTTCCAGAGATCAGAAAAGGAAGAATTGAAAAAAAATTGCTCATATGCCAGTCACAAAAACTACAAGCTTCCCAAGAGAGAGAGAGAGAGAGAGAGAGAAAACATGTGCGATTTTTGAAGGTTGTTGCGCTTCTCTAAATCTGGCTTCTTTCAAAATAACATTCTAGCAGAAAAAAGCGTTTGATCAAAAAAAGAAGGAGAAGAAGAGGGTACAAAGATTATGAAGAGGGTGGGGGCTAGTCGAGTGAGCAAAAATGGAAAAGAAGAGAGCAAAAACGGATCAAACGGATATTCTTGTGTCTATAGTTTAGAAAAAGATTGGATCACATTTTTCACGTATTCTGGAGTTGGAGGAGTTTGAAAACAAGGAGATGAAACCAGGATGTTTTTGAGGATTTTTCAGATTTCGAAGTTCAAAGAACTTTAATTCCAGATTACCAATTGTTATCTAATAGAAGTAATTACATGCACATTGAGCTCAATTATCTCGCTTTCTATGAGAGGTTTCAAAAAATCTGTCAAGTGATAAAATATTTGTGATACCATGATAAACAACTTATCAGTTGAAACTTTTTTTAAATATATTTTGAAAAAACCGAGATAATTGAGCTTATAGGTACGGATAGGGGGATCTTCTATTAGGGTAATTCGGGCTACACGGTTGAGCAGTAGGGTCATCGTCGATGCTGGATGGGTTACGATAGTCATACAAATAGGTGAGATTTGAACAATTAGTTACAGTACACAGCTACGTCAAAATGCACCAAAACCTCTATACCTTCAGATGAAAAGCCTTGAAAGAAAATAATGACCAATTCAATTAGTCAGAGTCAAAAATAACATATGTCAAAGGTGGACCGAAAAATCAGCACCCGTAAAACCTGTATTAGAAAGGCTGGCCTTGTTTGAAAATTCCTCCAGGGGCCCTTCAATTAGAGGAGGCCCTGATATTATTCTTGTCATTTTCTGAATAATTATTATCAAAAAATTTGTTTAGTTTCAAGCAACACATTTTGAAGGGGGCTCTTCTAATACAGGTTTTACGGTATTTAAAAAAAATCAAAACTACAAAACAAAGGAAATAATAGGAAGTTGGAAAATTCGAGAAAAAAGAAATCGCATAAAATCACTTTTCCTATTTCAAACAATTATTTTCAGACTGTTCAAATTTCGGAAAAGTTCAGAAATGACATTCCCAGACATACATGCATAATGAGATGAGAAATGAAAAGGGTACTAAAACGCGTAAGTGGGTACATAAAGAGTGCTGCCTGTTTTCGGAATACGTTGCCTACGCGTTGGCTTTCCGCCGCCTTCGTGAAGAAGAAGAAGAAGAACTGTCCATAGTTTGATCATAAGTAAATTCACGGAGGCGAAAAAGAGGGAGAGATTGGAAAGGACACGGAGGGATTTAAGAAAGAAAGCGAAACCGGATCCTTGTGTTCAGGTGGTGAAGGCCTTCGGAGATCATTAACATGAATTGGACAGGATGAAAAAAGACGAAAAAGGCGGGACAAACTGGGTAAAAACGCCCCAGGATGAAAATCGTTGTGTATTGATCAGGGTAACAACAATCAAATGTGTGTTTTTGTGTTATCATTTTTATATATTTTTTAAGAACGCCTGATAACGAATGCCAACGAGAACACACTATGTATTACAGCTGCAGTCAGTGAAAACACATTTTTTATGAAGATTGAAAACAATAAATAAAAACTGGAAGACTTGAATTTCTGACATGGAAAGAGAAAGTCTAGTACGGTTGATAAGAACGGGGAATTGTTGTCCGTAGGGTTCAGCGAAACAGTCTAGTAAACGGACGAAGAGAAAGTGCTTATCAACATTGTGTTTCGGAGAATGTTTCGGGAGTACAATAGGGTAAAGATCAGATTGGATCGGAGAAGAATGAGGAAGTGGTTTGATAACTATGCGTGGTGATTTGTTGTACAATAACTGTCAGAAGATTATAAACGTATTTCAATTGAACATATATCGGTTAACAGTTGAAAAATGACGAATAGGAGTGCCTGAGATCGTGTCAACCAACAGTGAATGAAGGGAGTGTTTGAACCAAAATAATAAAAAAACATTCACTATAACTGTTCAAACTTCAACAAGAGTCAATTGTCTGGGCTGACGACATGTATTCAAACTATGACAGTTTCTTTTTGGCTCAGTGGTTTCCGACAAAAACGTGATACCGTATTTTCTCTAATAGAAGACCATATTCTTCAACCTCCTCTCCGGGATGGACGTTTTTGAAAGGAAGAGCTTTAATTAGAGGGGTTTCGGAATTTCACCTGAACCGGAAAACTCAAAAAACGACAAGAATTAACAAAGTTACCAGCAATTTTTATAACAAGAGTGTTTCTAAGTAACCGAGAAGACGAACTGCACAGTCAGGGTAGGCTTCTATTAAAGAGAGACTTGAAATGAAGGTGAGCTTCTATTTAAGGAAATACGGTATATAGAACTCGGAGAGTACAAAAAATGGTAATATTTTTCCAAGAAAAGATACAGCACTTTCAATAGTAACATTTCAGAACTCGTCAATTTTCCTCGCATCCCTTTTGGTCGGTCGAAAAATGTTAAGAAAACAAAGGTCGGGAAGAAAAATCTATGACCCGCTCTGACTTCGGCCCACTTGGCCAGCTAACGGAAACTGTGGTTTCCCTGAAACGATACATCTTTTTTCTCCTTTTTTTTAAACCATTATACGGAGTTTGAAACCGTTCATCAAAAGTAACCCTGTCGCAACTTGCCTGACGTTAAGTGCAAACCGTAAACACTAAAAACCGTCAACCTTGAGCTCATGTATCTTATTATCTGTGAAAGATACAGTAACTCACTGGCATGATGTTTATCATATTATCATAACTTTTTTTGACAGTTTACCACTTTATGATAATTCTCACAGGCACCAAGATAAATTGGCTCAAATTGACAATTTTTAGGGGTATTCTAAAAGATAGTTTACAGTTTAAGTTAGTTGGTTACTATGCACAGTGAGCTGAACAGGAAAGTTTTTCTATGAGGTGCTTTCAAGTAAGTGCCAAGAAAAATGTAACAGAATCAAATATACGCAGGTACTTTTTTTTTTGATCTACAAAAACCAAAACTACTGTAATAGGTGATTCTTGAAACTTCCATTTAGTTTGGCAAATCAGACGAATTCGAAAAGATCATTATTTGACCAGTTGGGGAGTTGGAATGTGTAAACTAGTCGTTTGCAAAAGGTAAACAGATTCTTTTTAGAAAGTTAGAAATTGCTGTACCGTACTTTTACACGAGACTGTGCTGTGACTACGGCTGAGCCGGCCGGGGCTTCAGAACAAAAAAATTGGGAGAGCCGGCGTTCCGTGAAAAAAATTTCCTATAGGGGTAGCTACCATAAGAAAAAGAGCTACGCGGTTGTTTCAGGCATCTTTTGAGAGAAAAAAAACTTTCTTTTTAGTTTGGTTAAAGGTTGGGCAGCTTTTGAGCAAAGGACGACTAAAAACCTGATGGGTATAGTTTAACTTTGATTTCAGCAACAAACTTTGGTTGAGTAAGAGCATTTTCCAGACAAAAAAGACCACTGGGGACCAGACATGAGCGGAATTCCTTATTCCTTATTCCTTCTTCCTTATTCCGGGTGTTTTTTCTATTCCTTATTCCTTATTCCTTCTTCCGGGTTTTTCAATTTTTATTCCTTATTCGTTATTCCTTATTCCTTCGAACAATTAAAAATTTGAAATTTAAAATTAGAAAAAAACGCTTTCTAAACCTAAACTACCACTTAAAAAGTCGTTTAATGAAGCCTAAATTCCTCTTTTATACGTTTTATCAAAAAATTTCAAAACGCATTCGGCTTTTTTCGAAATTTTGTTCCGTATTCCTTATTCCTTCTTCCTTATTCCGGGTGTTTTTTCTATTCCTTATTCCTTACTCCTTGTTCCTGATTTTCAATTTTTGTTCCTTATTCCTTATTCCTTCTTCCAGATTTTCAAAAATTTTATTCCGCTCATGTCTGCTGGGGACGTTAAGCCAATTTTGAAGATACTGAACTCTCCAGCTACGATAAAGTGATCTTTTAACTTTCAACTTGGAGCCAATTTATGTCGGTTCTCGTCTAAGGTAACAAAAGTAGTTGACTGTCAAAATATGTTTAATGTTATGACGAATCTTTTGGTAGTTGATAACTTTTTGGAGTCTTTTACAGGAGATATATGGGCTCAAAGTTGACAGGTTCGGGGCATTCTATTAAAGTGATTACGGTAGTTCATGTTGGGGTTTAACTTTCTTTAGAAGGTGTGTAAATGCTTTGAGAAGTTACCGGAATCAATTAAGCAGCTAAAGATCGATTTTTCTCAAACTTCCGGACCTTAAAAGTCAGCTCTGTTGTACTTTCAAGTATATTTAAGCATAACTATACTGAGTCTCATAAGAACCCGTTCCCACTCGAATCCTACCGTATCCTCATTAACAACATATTCTCTTACCTTACACCAATACACGCAAATCGCCTAGCGCCTCCCATCAGATTGCCCAATCTTCCGAAAAAATTTTAAAGAATCCTGAAGCGCATTTGAATCTTTGGAAAAAATTTAGCGGGATAAGATCGCACATTCATCACGCAGAGAATTGAATTCCTGTTAGGCTGATCACGGGAGAGAAAAATACGGAAAAAAAAGGAACAGAGAATAGTTTTGTTAGCCGAAAAAGTGACTCAACGTTCTCAAGCTGCTACCAGGAAGTGAAATTTTCAGAACGATTTCTTATCACAGTATCAGAAAACAAACTCGGCAAGATAAAAGAGGGAGAAAACCCTGAAGTTTGAATGACATACCTAAAGCATGATGGACGCAACCTTCTACAAAAATATTTGCTAGTCTGAAAATCTAAATCCAGGAATTTCTCTCTATTTAAAGACAACGCCCAACTCCGCCCTTCTAATCCGGTGCACCCAGAAACTGGGCGGGGCCTGTAGTACTAGATCAAAATGTGATAACATCTGTTTGACAAAGCTACATACACACAACGAGACTGTCCGATAAGACAATGTTCCTGGATACGTTCCGTCTTTTGTGTTTTGAATAGGTGTACGCGGGGAAGAAGGATGAAGCGGGGAGAAGTCTTCATCGGGCACGATTTTGATCTTCTGATCATGTGTGTGGTGAATCGCCTGTGGATATTTTTTGTTGATAGAAAAAGACAGAGAATAATTAGAGATAACGAAGCACGGGATAGAACACGTTTTACGATGTTTTTTTCTTGAGTTTTGAAATTCGTTGGATTGGTCGTGTGTCTTGGTTAGCGTGGGAACGGGAGGTGTCTATATAAGCTAGGAATATCCCAGGATGATTTTTTTTGGTCATTTTTTTATTGAAAATAATATTATACGTTTCTAGCAAGTATTCATATACAGTATCAGTACAGTATCAGTCAATAAGATATACAATAACGTCAATTTCAGTGGATTTCAACCATTTTCAGGAGTCTGAAGCTCGGCTGTCAAGTTTTCGATCAATTCGAAAACTTTGGAGAGTGTGATACAGACCTAGATTGAAAACTTTGCTTTTACAGAATTTTTTGGAAATTCCTAGTTTTTCAGATATTTGCGAATTTCTGAAAGTCACCCTTTTCCCCTTTTTTTTGTACTGAAAAATGAAAAAAACAAGCGTTCTTTGGAAATCGGCAAATAGCTGAAAAATTAGGGATTTTCAAAAAGTGATCGGACACTTGACAACCGAGCTACAGATTCCTGAAAATGGTCAAAATGGCTCAAAATTCATTGAAAAATACGTTGTTGTATATCTTATTGACTCTTGAGTTCAAAAAACTAAAGATTCTGACTGCAAATTTGAAAAAAAAGTTTCTTGGAAAAATAGTAGTGCCCATTTGAATCAGCTTATTTTATAAAACCAGAATTAAGCCCTGGCTCGGCAAATGAAATCTGTAAAATTGAAACTTGAGCGATCAAAAGAAAAAAAAACAGATGAAAGTCTTATGAATTCCATAGAATCAGGGTTAATTGGAAGACCGAAACCCAGTATTCCGAAGATTTTCATTTAGTTTTTCTTTCGTTTCCAATTTTTTTGTATACATAAATAGGTAACAACCTAAACCACTTTTCCCTAAAATCCTGATCACATTTATGCTACGAGTACAGTACCGCGGATTCTAACTTTCAAAAAGAAAACTTGTTTACTTTTTGCAAACGATTAGTCTACACATTCCAACTCCCCAACTGGTCAAATAATGATCTTTTCAAAAATAGCTGATTTGCCAAACTGAATGGAAGAATCGGGAAATACTTGCTACAGTAGTCTTTGTTTTTGTTAATCGCTGTAGAACTGGAAACAGTTTGAGGAACCGAAAAATGAATAACAAGAATTTTCCAGGTCGGAAAATGTTGTTTTTTCTTTTCGTTCTCTAGGTTTTTGAAAAGTAGGTAAAAATATGTTTTTTAGTCTTGAAAATATTTCAATTTTGAAAATAAAAAACTGATTATACAACAAGAAACAAAATGTTCCAACACATTGTGAACTGTGTCAACTGGGGGGAGAAGAAATCACCGTCAACCCACTCATTCGAAAATCAACAATAGACTGAGAGAGAAAGAAAAGAGCAAACAGCTAACAAAACACTCACAGATCACTGCTCGCATATTTAGCGCTCTCTTGAATCAGACTACATTCATGTTTGGCTCCTCGTCTCTGCTTTTTTTTCAGACACATAACATTGGGGGAAACCTTTAAGAGAGCGAACAAAATTTGTGTCCGACTGACTTGTTGGCTGCAAAAATGAATTAATAATTCACAACAGCACGTTGTGGAGACAAGCGACCAAAGTTTGACATATTTTGAGACATGATGTTCAATGCAAAATTTTAAATGAATTTTAGACTAAAATTAGCCGTTGTTTGCCTGAAACAAGAGCCGAGTAAACGAGGCTTATTCTAGAAACAAGCGAGTTTGAACAAAGTAAAATGGTACTGAAACGAAATGGTAGGAATGGTACTGTATTCTTTAATTCTTCTTCAATTCTTCATTCTTCTTTTTCGTTCTGTAATTGTTGCAATTTTCGTAAAAAAAAATCACGCTCCCTAACGAGCAAGACTGTAAAAATAAGGATAATGGTGATCTTGTTAGGGTACTACTGTAGCAAGTAGGTAACCTCGTGGCCATAGTTCGTTTTAGACCGTTTTTCGAAACGTCGGTCTCATTGACCCGGCCTACCTACAACCGAGCATTCTTGCAACATTCCTGGCCGGGCCGGGCCGGGCTTTTTTCAGAATTTTTAGGGCCCGGCCCGGATTTTCGGAAAAAAAATTTTTTAGGGTCAACAGAAAAAATGAACGATTTTTCTGACAAAAAAAAAATTTTTCAAGAAAAGAGTGTCCATGAAAAATAGTTCTTTCACAAAAAATTTCTGTAATTTCAAACTTTTTTTTTCAATTTGGAGAACCCGGGCCCGGGCCGGGCAAAGACATCCCTTTTCATGTTTTTAGTACAAAAACGGCCCTTAGAGGGGTGTCTTTCAGGAATTGGAAAATATCTAAAAACTATCAGTTTTTCAAAATTCGCTGAATGCAAATATTTCAAACTAGGTCTGTTCAACAACCTTAAAATTTTTCAAAGCTGTCCGAAACTTGACATCCGAGCTCCAGACTCCAGAAAATGGTCAAAATGGCCGAAAATTACGTTTTTGTATGTATGTACCGGTACTGTAGGTATCCCAGAAATCGAATCAGCATTTTTTTTGCGCCTTTATAAGAGGAGCGATAAGACAGTTATTGAGAAATCTTTTGGTTTCAAGTTTTGGGCTTTCTCGCGTAACTCAATCCGTAGTAGCATTTCAGTGACTAACATCTCTGTCAATTTTTTTTTCCATTTTTGTTTTACAACTGATAGTGACTAGTACATAACCAAGGCTGTGTCGATCTTCTCTAATACTTCTCACTTATCAGCCAAACACGCGCACTTATCAGCCAAACACGCGCTCGCGCTCTAATGCACATCTGTGGATTTGTCCTTTTCAACTTCAATCATTCGATCTCCTCTTGCCAATCATATTTGCTTACAGAATCTATTTATGCACAAAAATTAATATTCAAAGCTGTTAACAATAGATCGTGGCTATCTGTTCGTGTTTGGTCAGGGAATCCTTGCTATCGAAATATGGTAATTTTGAAAATCGGAAAATCAACACTTCAAAGATTTGAAAATTTTTGTTGGGCCAGAAAAAAAAATCCGAAGTGGGTGGAAATTATAATAATTTAACCGAAACCCTCAATGTCAACTTGGAGTCAATTTTTCTCGTATTCTGTGAAAGATATCAAAAAGCTATCACCTGGCAAAATGTTTATTATAGTGCCCAAAAAAAATTTTGTCCGTTAATCACTTTTTGATATCTTTCACAAGGACCGAGATAAATTTGGTTAAAGTTAGGGACACTTTAATTAAAGGATTTACAAGAAAAATTAAATGAAGCAAAAAAGTGAATGTCTGGAAAAAATAGCATTTTTTTTGCCAATGTTAATTATTGAGCACCTTTCCGTCTACGGCAGATAAAAAACGTTACAGTATTCTCACACCTGTGCAAACTTATCCAGACTCGTCACATCCATCGAAGACAGAAACAACGGACTCGAAATACTCGAAGATACTAGAAAAATTTCAGATTTGAAAATTCAAAAAGAAAATATTTTGACCAGTTTCGAAAAAATGACCACTTTGAACTGATGTAGACAATTGTGTGCACTTTCAAACACCCACAAAAATCGTACCAAAAAAAGAGTCGTCTCATTCCCTGCAGCTGACTAAACTAAAAGCATATAACACTATGCTATGCACAGAGTGTGGCTAAGCAAAAATGAGCAGCAATGATCACGAATGGGAAAAATTAGAAAAAATCGAGCTCGCCCCAAAAAATGGAATTTCGATTTTTTCCAGCCGCCTGAACAAACTGCCCATCGAAAATTCGTTCTTCATTTTTGTTCGATTGGATTACTGTAGCGATTCTGTTTGCAAACCAAATATCAACTTGATCTGTGATTCATTTTTTGTAGTATTAGGTTGGCGGGAAAGTCTTTGTCACTCTGTTTGTTTAATCACTGTTCTCGTATATGGAGGCTGTGTATGATATCGACTCTAGTGAATAACAAGGTGATAAGAACCTTCCATATAAACAAGTCCCCATTTCCTTCCCTGCTCCTCATCTGTAATTGAAACGATATGTTTGTTCCCACTGCTATTCACATCAGACATGTTTTGATTTACCTCTTCCTATCTCACACCACGATGAAGGATTCGGAAACTTTCTTGAAGAATGTGTACAACACACATGCCCCTCACTACAATACTATTCGCAATTGGTTCCATCGTTTCGAAAAAGATGACTTCTCGCTCGATGAAAAGGATCGCTCTGGGAGTCCCCGTGAGTTGGATTTGGACAAGCTGAAGCACGCATTGCAATCGGATCCATTTCAATCTAGCCGTGAACTAGCTGTCACATTCGGAGTTCACCATAGCACAGTCCTTGAAGGTTTGAAGTCTCTTGGAATGAGAAAACTTTTTGGTCGATTCATACCTCATCACCTGACTCAAGCCAACCTTGACCGCCGAGTCGACGATTCGATTACTCTTCTCACTCTCCACGCGGGCGATCGATGGCTGGACCGGCTAATAACCGGAGATGAGAAGTGGGTCTTCTACGATAATCACCACAGGAAATCCCAGTGGGTTGGAGAAGGAGAGAGCCCACAGGATGTCCCCAAACCCGACCTTCATCCGAAAAAAGTTATGCTCTCTGTGTGGTGGGGAGTGGACGGCCCCATCTACTGGGAACTTCTGCCCGAGGGCAAAACAATAACTGGAGACCTCTACACTACTCAACTACGAAACCTCAAGAAAGCAGTCGACCGTTCGGCCCTGAAAGACAAGAAAGTGTACTATCAACATGATAACGCTCGCCCACATGTTTCGAAACAAGTGAAGCAGGAGCTGATGGGATATGGATGGAATGTTCTCCCTCACCCCCGTATTCTCCTGATCTTGCTCCTTCCGACTATTGGTTATTTGGCGATATGACACGTGCCTTCGAAGGAAGAAGCTTCAATTCCCGTGGAGCGGTCGAAGCGGCACTCAAACAATACTTTGCCTCACGCCCGGCTGGATTCTACCGCAATGGAATCCATAAATTGAGGGAACGTTGGAGACATGTTGTTGATAATGATGGACAATATAATTAATTATTCGGTTATTTTTTCTTTGAGAAATAAACTATTGAAAAAGTGACAAAGACTTTCCCGCCAACCTAATATCAATTAATTTTTCAGATTTTTTATTTCTACAGTAACCCGTATCTAGCCTGATGTCGTCTTAGACTTTGCGGGTCTTAATGGTGAGTGGACAATTACTTTTACAGTATCCCCTAATCTAAAATCTGAATGGGTGATCTTTAGAGGAAAACGCCGTACTGAGTTTAGCTGTCCTCAAAAGATGTGGAGTGGATAGTGCGAAACATCGGAATGCATTGTTTTGAAGATTTTGAAGATGAGTTGAAGATATTGAGCGGAGACATGGAAGGAATTCACGTGAATCGCTGGATATCCATGGGGATTTCTTCTGCCTTCCTCAAGGATTTGTGGTGTGGAACATACTGTAGGACCTCGAAGTCGCGCTCTATCTTTTCTCTAGCATATAACCAAGTAGCTTTTAACGGAAATGCCTTCCCTAAAATTATATTTCTAAAAAACAGAATACTTGCGAACGCGCTCTAGTGCACTTCTGTAGTAGAATTTACATTATTCAATCTCCTCTTGCTGATCATATTTGCTTACAGAATCCATTTATACAGAAAAAATTATTATTCAAAGCCACTGACAATAGATCGTGGCTATCTGTTAATGTTTGGTCAGGGAATCCTTGCTATCGAAATATGGTAATATCGGAAATTGAAAAATCAACATTTCAAAGATTCAGAGTTTTGAGCGAAAAAGTCCGAAAATGATCAACATCGCAATACTTTAATAGAAGTACATCATATAATAGAAGCCTTTAATGTCAACTTTGAGACGATTTTGCCAGCTTGCTGCGAAAGATAAGGTAAAGTTATCAACTGATAAATTCACTATCTTAATATAAAACATTTATTTTGGCTGTTAAGACGGTTCATAATTCGGAGAGCACATCGATTTGGGCTTTCAAGGCGGTACAAAATCCACAACTCGGGGGTTTTAATAGGAAATATAAATATTCAGATGCATTCATGGTTTGTTGAAATTTTAGTTTCTTTCCTGGAAAATCGAAATTTTTGAACTCCCTGTTTTTTTTGAATCGTTTGAATTTGGATAAGTTATTCTCGAATCCGAAGAGTTACTGAAAATTTTTCAATCGATTCAGTTTGTTTTAGAGAGAAAAAAATCGCTATAATCTAAAAATTGACTTCAAAAGATAGCTTACTGAAGTGTCAAAAGTTTAAATAATTTGTTCCTCAAAGTATTGACATGACGGGACCAATGATAACGTTTTGCTAAACTTAACCTCACCATAAAAATACAAAATATTCAACCACGAAATCAGAAGATTTTATTTAAAATTAATTGAAAAAGGTTAGGTCGTGCCCTTAAAGTTTATTTTCAAACAAAAAAAAACAAAAACATCCAATTCGTTCTCTTCAAATCTCCCCCTTTCTTCCCAGACTCCACTCTCACAGAAAACGTTTTCTGTTTTCCATTCTCTTCTTGTGTTCCGATTATTGGCCATTTCTAAAACACAACGGATCATACGCGGGGAGACAAGACAATGATACCAGAAGGAAGATTCAAAACACAATTCGAAATCGATCTGAATGTGTATGGGTTGGTGTATAGAATTTAAACACCCAGAGAGAAAGTTCCGAAATACGGCTATACAATGTGTGTATTGTGGGATGATCCGCGCCGGCAAAACAATACATAGGGGAAGAAAATGTGTGTTATGTGTGTGGGAAGATTTTGAATTTTTAGCTGGAATGTTGAATGGGGGAATTCGAAAAAGGAGGGAGGTTGCTTAGCTTATCTTGTATTTTTCAAACTTAGATCCATCATCTTAAAGTCGCTTCCAACTGAGCCGCAATGATTACTACCGACGATGTTTACCTTCAAAATGTCCTGAAAGGTGGGGGAACATGAAAAAATAATTTTCTTGAAATTCAGATAAGCCACTCGAGGATTAGATCTTGTGGACCCTTTCTTAAAGAAGTCGCGTTGCTACCAGCTGAGCTACGGCGGTTGAAGCTGCTCCGGGTTACTGAGAAGTCGTGGTATGAATTTCAGACTACAAAAACAAAAATGGTTCGCAACCGTGTAGCTCAGCCTGTAGCGTTGCGTCACAGAGTGTCTGACCCTGAACTTTACTATTTTAGGGAATTTTTTTCAGGTGTTTTTTTTCAGGTGAGTAATCACAGACTAAAAAAACCAAGAGAAGAATTTTTGTCAGCTAGACGTTATCACCTGCTACCAAGCCATTCGACATGGCCTAGCAAAAAAACATCAGTTACATTTATTCCGTTATGAACTGTTCCGTTGAATTCAGCTATTTCAGTTCAGCTGAGTTTATGACTCTAGCTTTTCATGTTATGACTATTATAGAAATTCCAGTTCATATTTTTGTGGGATACGTAATCATTTTCAAGACTCCAGCTAAAATGGGAAATGTAAAATGGTACATGTTTAATGTACACTTATGGAGTGCGATTCTTGATATTTCGTTTACTTTTCTGGTCACACCATATTTTATTTTCCCGGCGACCGCTGGATACCCTCTGGGCATTTTTATATGGTTCGGGTTGGACCCAGTATACCAAGTTACGGTATTAGTAGTGGAGATTGGAAGTGAGTTATTTTTTATTCAAAATGGAATTCTTATAAGTAACTTTTCAGTGACTATAATTTCAATCCTGGTTTTATTCGAAAATCGATACACATTCTTGGCGGCATCAAGAAATGATTTTTGGAAGAGATTCAGAAAAGGAACCTTTGTGATATTGTATATTGTGGCATGGACATATTTTATTCCATTCATTTTTCAAGTTCCGGATCCAAGTATCGCTGTACCAATAGTATTAAAAGTGAGTTAATGTGATTTGTGCGGATATACTTGAAGGTGGGGGAACATGAAAAATATTTTTCTCATATCTTTTTCATGAAAGCACTGAAAAAGTTGAACTTGTGGGCAATATTAAGGGGGAAACATCTACAAACTGAGCAATGTGGCGGCAATTGCGTAGCTCAGCCGGTAGTGGCGCAGCGTCTGCGAAAATTTCACCACAAGTTCAACTCCCCGGGGGTCTTCTTGTAAAATAATCAAGGTTTTTTATTTCAATTTCAAAAAGGAATTCTGTGCAAACATTTTTAGAACATGAAACCACAATTAACTATATGGCTGAGTCCGAACTTGAAATGCTGATTTTTTTTGGAACTAGGGAAAATGTATATTCATTAAATCTTCCGATCTTCCTAAATTTAGAAAAAAAATGTTCATCGAAACACCAATCCAAAGTTTAGCTGAATGTATTTTTGCAACAAGAAATATTTTGAAGTCACAGTTACCAAAAAATGTATGTTTCCAAGAACCAATCATAGTTTCGAAGGTTGGGGCATGAAAAATGAGAGTAGAGAAGTTTTTTCAACAACTCTTTCCCGCATATTTAGCAGAAATTGTCCAATAACGGCTGTGAAGCGCACCACGCTCAGGATTTGGTAGGAAGTAAAAATTTGGACACGTCAGTAACAGGGTTCAAAGCTAGAAAAAGTCAAGGGCTGAAAAATGTATTTTTACACAATTTACACAAAAAAGGAATCCTTCGAAAAACTTTCTATTTATCGAAGATCAAAACATGGTTTTAAACTTTATGAGATTTTTTCAGCAACTCCCAACACTTCGATGTTTCTATACTGGACCCATTTTTGTATTCACCCTGGATTCAACTGTCGTTGCTCGAGTCACCATGTTGAAATTAATAATCGACTTCTCCTATCTTGGCCTCCTAGTGTATCTCACATTCAGGAGTCTTATAAAACAAACCCAGAGCGCTGCTCTATCCAAAAAGACATTGGCTCTACAACGGAAATTCTTCGGCTTAATTATCATTCAAACAGTCATACCATTTGCGATTTTAATTTTACCAATCGCTTATTGCGGCTGGGCGATGTCTGTCGAATTCTATAACCAAGCTTTCAATAATTTTGCATTCATCGTAATTGCATCACACGGATTGATATCAACAATTGCAATTTTATTGATTCATGAGCCTTACAGAACAGTGTTGATCGGGAAGTGTAACAGAAAAGTTGGAGATTCTGGACCTAACTCGAATGGAGTACCACAGCCAATTGCAAGGGGAAATTCTAGACCAATATGATTTGGAAATTAAATAAATTATTATCTTCAAAGTTGTTTAATTCTGGTAGCTACAAAAAAACGGGGCTCACACTTTGAGAGGGATATGAGACTAATATGTATGAGTCTTATATCCTATTACAGTAACCCAATGACAAGGACCTTTGTATGAGACAGTAACCCTATAAGACAGCAACCCCTATGACAAACGATCTTTAGTAACCCTCATGAGACAGTGACGCTTATAACCCCTGTGATCCCTAGTGTACCCTATTGTCACGATCCCTATAGTACAGTAACCCCTATTACAGTAACCCTTATTATAGTAACCCGTATGACAATGACCCCTAGGATACAGTAACCTCTATGACAGTAATCTCTATTCAAGTAACCCATATGAGACAGTAACCCCATTGATGCGCCTATTAGTAAATCCTCCCTACTTTGATGTCCCCTTTGAGTAGCCCGTCATGACAGCCCTGCTAGATTTTTTCTAAGAATAGGTCAATTGACGACAGGTGCATTTTGAAAACTTGATTAGCCGACCAATCATTTTTTCAACGTTTAGACTTTGAACATTGTCATACATTCTTGTTTTTCTTACTTGCAAATTTTTCTCAAGTCATGTCTCCAACATGTTCATCTACATACAGTTTCTTAAATACCCCAGATTTCTTGACCTATTCATTTCATTGTCTAACATTTTTTGAAATCCCGATTCATATTTTCGTGGGGTACCTGATTTTATTCAGGACGCCAAAACGGATGGGGAACGTTAAATGGTACATGTTTAATGTGCATTTTTGGAGTGCGGTTTTGGATTTTTCGCTTAGTTTATTGGTGATTCCCTATATGTTGTTCCCGGTAGCAGCTGGGTATGCATTGGGATTATTTACAAAAATCGGTGTGGACTTGGCAATACAAACTACGGTGATAGTAGTGGAGATTGGAAGTGAGTGGTGGGACCGTTTATAGTTTCAAAATTCGAATATTTCAGTGACAATTCTTTCGATCCTTGTTTTGTTTGAAAATCGATACACCTTTCTTGCTGCCTCGCCCAAGTTTTGGATCAGAGTTCGTAGATCAGTAATTGGATTATTCTACATCATAGCTTGCACATACTTTATACCTTTCAATTTCATGGTGCCTGACCAGAGTGTTGTTGGACCGGCGATCATAAAGCGCTTAGAAGATCTTCGTTGCTTTTATACTGGTCCGATATTTGTACTTGCCCAGGATGCGACTCTTGTTGCGTGGTCCACATTTATCAAACTGCTAGTGGAGTTCACTTTTATCATTGTTTTGGTGGCTCGAACTTTTACCAATATCGTGAAGCAAAATAAAACGGCTTCTTTATCCAAAAATACCATTGCTCTACAGAAGAAATTTTTTGTTTCTATCACAATTCAAACTGCAATTCCAATTACTGTGATTATACTCCCACTGGTTTATTGTGCTTATTCATTGTCTCAAGGTTTTTATAGTCAAGGTGTGTGTTTTAGTGCTTGAAAAAAATTTCGGAAAACAAAAACAGTTCTGGTCATTAAAGATGGTTTTCTCGACTTTTTCAAACTTCTAACCTACATAGATTCTGACAAGACCTGTGGTCGGTTATACAGCCGTCATTGGGCGAGATTTGTGCAAAAAAAACTTGTCGACGGTAAGCGACAAAAATTTCGAAAAACATTTTTTTTGGAAAATGGATATTTTCGCAAAGTTTCCAAACTTTCGAATGTTCGAACTACTAAATTAGCCGCAGTACGATATTTCGGTGTGGCATAGTATTTTTTGAAAAACATATTTTTGGGATTTTCTGAGTAAGATTAATCCAATGTGAACTTTGTCAACATGAAATTTTTTGGCCACCAAAGTTGATAGACAAGTGGTGGCCTAGAGAACTCAACTTGCGGAAGTTAGGCCACCATATCAAAATGACCTAGAAAAACCGAAAATCTCATCATTTCTAGGCCATGAAAGTTGTTCTCGAAAATTCGAAAAGTCAGATCATCGTTTTAAACGTAGAAAGCACACCAGGTGCATGTTAAACCGTTTCAGGACCATCAACTACGGTGACCTAGAAAAATCATGTATATAAACTTAGGCCACTCTATGAAACCGGTTGAGTGATTTTCGATATCAATCTTTAAAAATTCCGAATGCTCTTCCGAACTAATTTTCGAAAACCGTTCGAAAATTTATCGAAAAAAAAATTGGAAAAATCTTTGGAGTGTATCGGAAATCACAAACTATATCCAAGCCACCAAGCTACAAGCACCCAAGCTTTATTTGACAGAACAAAAACTCAAAATTTCAGCTATGAACAATATCTGCTTCCTTATTATATCCTCCCATGGTTTGGTATCCACTATTGCCATGCTCTTGATTCATGAACCCTACCGGAATGTGTTGTTCAAATGTGGAAAATCTAGAAGAGAAAGCAGAACAATGTCTGTAAGCATTGTCAGGTCATTTGTTGATAGAAACTCGACTTTGCATTGATTTTATAATTTATCACGAGATCTAATGAATCATTCGTTTGCCAAGAATTCTAGATTTTATCTAGTCTCTGTCCCATGTGAACAAACCACAAAAACCAAAACTAAAGAAAACTGATTTCCGACTTTGGAGTGTTACGCATCGGGTACAAAATTTTTTCCTGGTAACATGAGCAATAACAAGTGTTTTTTCAGTTAATTCATATCTATGACAACACGATTTTTGTGATCCAACGAAAGCGGTTTCAATACTCAGAGACTATTGCAAGAGCCATCTCTTGTGCGCTTTTAAAGTTTCGTATGGTATTAGAACTAACTTTGTTTCAGCAACATACTGCGGATGCTATGCTATGAGCTTTACTCTCTTCGCCGTTCATTTTGTGTACCGTTACTATGCAACTTGCAAGTGAGCCTTAAAAACTACAATAATCAAATAAAGCACCGTAATTTCAGACCCGACCTCCTCCGCTTCTTCAATGGCTTCTATTTCGTCGCATGGGTTTTCGGGGCCATCGTTGTAGCTGCCAGTTGGGGATTCGCCGCGTTCATTTTGTATCCAGAAACCGATCGGACCAAAGCAGCGTTACTGTAAGTCTGTCGGTGTAGGTATCCATAAAGGTTTTCATTTTCAGGCACATTCTCAACACATCCTATAATTTGGATCCGGACTGGGTTCGAAATGTTCCGTATAGTTATGTAAGTGGGGGAGCTTGAAAAATGATTTTCTCGAAATTTGGTTCATATGAGGCCCCCGAGGAATTGAACTTGTGGCCCCACCATTGGAGGTGCTGCGTCGCTACCGCTTGAGATACAGTGGCGCCAGCTATATGGCTACGCGCTGTGCATACCGTAACTACAAAAAATCTCGGAAAATCAGGAATCCTTCAATAACTCGAAAAACGTTTCAGTGGCGCACATTCGATGGTGTGGAGTACCTGAATCCTCGAAAAGTCATTGGTATTCTTCAGCATGGTGTAATTATGACAGTCTCGTTTGGCACAGTATTCTTTTGTGGATTTGAAACCTATAAAACCATAAACGCCACCCGTGGAGTGTCCGATAAGACACGGGAATTACAAAATCAACTTTTCAAGGCATTAGTCATACAGGTACAGTTTTTCATTTGTAGGTAGATTCAATTTTTTTTCCAGACTATAATCCCCACCTTCCTGATGTATCTACCAACCACTATGCTTTTTGTGACTCCATTTTTTGGACTAAATATTGGATGCTACGGTAACATTACTACGGCTACACTACACTTGTATCCAGGACTGGACCCACTGGTGCTACTTCTATTGATTCGAGACTTTCGACAAACCATAAGAAGTGAGAATTTTTGAGTTATAAGAGACTCTTGAAAGAGTTTGGAACTTGTTATTTCAGGAAAAATTTTCTTCTGGTCTCCAACAACCAGTCGGGTCGAAACCTTGACAAATGGCAAGTCGATTCAGTCAAGTGCCAGCAGAGTGGGATAATTTAATTATATTTTTTCATTGTAACATTCGCAGGGTTTTTTCGACAACCTTTGCAAATACGCTCTATTGATAAATGGCCCGGACAAAGCTTTTTCAAATATTCAAAAAGGAAAACATTCTCCCCTAAAACAAGAGATCTTGTTTTGGTGAAGAGATGCAGACATTTTTCGAAACGTTTGATTCTCAGCCATTGGCTGCGTTCTCATTAAAGCGCATTTGCATACGTAGTGGAAAAAAAACCCTGTGAACATTTTCAATAAAATTTCCTTAATGTTGCTCCACTACCGGATGAGTTATGCGGTTGCCATCCTTAATTATTGATCGCATTGTTCAGCCGGTAGTGGCGCGACGCTCCCAATCATGTGTTAGACTTTTAAAGCAGTGTCTTTAACCTAACAATAAAAAATAGAAAAGCTTATTTATCAGCTTCAATACGCAAACTTCCTCTCTCTGTACATCTACGTAAATTCTTGTACATCCACGTGATTCTGTATCTACATTGAATCGGAAACCACCTAAATTTCCGGTACAAGTTATCTTCTACCTCACAACACATTCAACTCTCAACTTTATTAGATATCTAGAAAAAAAATCGACAAAGATGAAGTTGCTGCTTTAAGCGTTATGTGATTACTGGAGCACGGACTTCCAGTCTCAGTATAATTTTTGGATGATTTCCAGAAAAACGGGCATTTTGACGTCCAGCTAGAGCGGCCCAGGTCTTACTTGGTTTTCCGTGGAACATAGAATCTCGCGTTATTTAAGGAGAGTCAATTCAGTTCTGCACCGCTTTGTATGAACCAGGCCTGTGCGGCAACAAAATTTCTTCGGCAATTCGGAAACTTGGCAATTGCCGAAAAAAAATTTCGGCAATTTCGGCAACTTTCGGCAATTTTCGGCAACAAAAGTTTTGCGTCTTTTTTTAGTAAAATCGATACGTAACTCACCCGAAAATGCTTCTATCAGGCTCAGAACTACAGAAAATGTGTTTCATAAGTTCCTTAAAAAAGTAATTACAAAAATTGGCAACTGAAGACCACATTTTTGATGCAAACTATTTCTCTTTAGCAATAGAGGGTATTCCAATGGTTGAAAATATTTGTTCCGATTGTGAGTTTTGAAAATAGTGCGCTCAACTTGTTAGGCAACTAACGACACACGTTCCCTAGAGATTTGAGACAAATTGGATAATTTTTTTGATGAGTTGTGACTCATGATGTCTATTTTTCTCCTATGCTCACAAGTTTGAAGCTCATTTTTAGATCCGATGCAATTATTTTTGATGATTATTGGGACAGATTTCCTCTAAAATTCACCCTGAGGGATGATGGTGTTCAAAATTTGATTTTTCGAACTTCGATATCATTTTTTTGACTAAAAAAATTGTGAAAATCTCTAAATGCAAAAAAATTTCAATTGCCGAAATTGCCGAAATTTTTTTGCCGAAATCGGCAACGGCAATTCGGCAACTTTTCCTTCGTTGCCGATTTCGGCAACGGCAAATCAGCAACAAAAATTCGGCAATTTGTTGCCGCACAGGCCTGTTGTACATCCACGTGATTCTGAATCTACATGGAATCCTAGACCACCTAAATTTCCGGTACAAGTTATCTTCTACCTCACAACACATTCAACTCCCAACTTCATTAGATATGGCTCTAAAGCTGTACATCGGTCTCGCATCTTTTGTTCTATCTTTTCTTGCTATTTTCCTAAACCTTTTAATTTTTATCCCTGTATTTCGACTCGGTTTTATTGCGAAAAAAAGTACAATTTATGTAATCGCATTTTTCAATATTTTATCAGACTTGATGCAGTTATCCATAACCTGTTTCTACTTAACCGCTTCTATTGTAGCAGATGTAAGATCTAGAAAAAAAATCGACAAAGATGAAGTTGTTGCTTTAAGCGTTATGTGATTACTGGAGCACGGACTTCCAGTCTCAGTATAATTTTTGGATGGATTTTCATCAATGCTTGGTATATGGAATGCCTTGTTCAGATTGTGATGGCTGTTAATCGGTTCACAGTGATTTCTCTTCAAAAGAGGCACATTTTCACTTTCAAAACCACCCTGGCCATATTTGTAGTTCTTATTTCAACGACGGCGTTTTCAGCAATTTGCACTCAATATGTTTTTCCATGTTGTGTGTAAGATATAACATAATTTACATAACTAACCAGAATTGGAATCAGGCTTCCATTTCGGTCGGTCGAAATGCGCCGACCGCCGACCGACCACCGACCAATCCGACTGACAAACGACCGATTTCGTGCATTTGCGCATCAAATTATGATTACGCAGCATTTCCTTTTTTGCAACTGCACGAAAACGGTCTGCTGTCGGTCGGCAGGGTCGGTGGTCGGTCGGTCGGCTAAGTTTCCCGACCGAATGGTAGCCTGAAACGGGATCAAGGCTGTGGGAAACAGGTCCGCGGCACGGGCCGTGGATCAAAATGCCCGTTTTTCTGGAAATCCATCCAAAAATTATACTGAGACTGGAAGTCCGTGCTCCAGTAATCACATAACGCTTAAAGCAACAACTTCATCCTTGTCGATTTTTTTTCTAGATATCTAATAAAGTTGAGAGTTGAATGTGTTGTGAGGTAGAAGATAACTTGTACCGGAAATTTAGGTGGTTTCCGATTCAATGTAGATACAGAATCACGTGGATGTACAAGAATTTACGTAGATGTACAGAGAGAGGAAGTTTGCGTATTGAAGCTGATAAATAAGCTTTTCTATTTTTTATTTTTAGGTTAAAGACACTGCTTTAAAAGTCTAACACATGATTGGGAGCGTCGCGCCACTACCGGCTGAACAATGCGATCAATAATTAAGGATGACAACCGCGTAACTCATCCGGTAGTGGAGCAACATCAAGGAAATTTTATTGAAAATGTTCACAGGGTTTTTTTTTCCACTACGTATGCAAATGCGCTTCAATGAGAACGCTCGAAAAAGGGAGAGGGGGAGATCGAAAAATGAAACAACTTAATTTTTTTTCAAGATTCATCTGTGACAAAGACGTGATGTCATTCATGTTTATCAACATCGAGGGTCTCTATTCCTACTCAAATTTGATGCTGGTGTCATATGACGTCTTCTGCACTTCCACCTCTACACTCTGCTACATTTCCGTGTTCCGTTCGATCCGAAAATCGTACAAAACCGCACCAAGCAATGTTCAAAAGAAACGAGCTAACGATGATGTGAAGTAAGGAGATCCTCCTATTTGAAAATTACGAGCAATTTTTTTCTTTTTTTCTAGATATTTGACACAATTCGTGTTCATTTCAATTTTCTTCATCTTCACCTGGGTCCTGTTCGAGCTACTTCCATATATCGTCCCTAAAGATCAACCAGAGTGGTTTTCGGTTGTTCCCGTATTGGTGACCCTGAATTGTTCGTCAAATTCGATCATTTATCTCTCGATGAACAAGCATGTTCAACAGTCGTTGCAAATTCCATGGCTCCGGAATAAGCTTGGTGGACCAAAATCCTCTAGTAATGTTAATGTGATCCAAGTGCTCCCGCTTTCCAGTCCTTCATAAATATATGAAAGAATTGAGCTGAAAATGAATGTTAATTGGACTTTGGGACAAGGTATTCATTGCTCAAGTTATTTTTTACGAGCTTGTAAAAGATGTAGTACATACTATGTACTCAATGATGTTCGTTCGAAATCGATTATTCGCCTAATTGAGTGAGTGATAAAATGATAATATAATTTAGAACATAAATGATTTTATTTTATTTTTTTCTGATTGCACAACTGTGATCAAATCAGTACCGGACTAAACGATACCGTAAACACTAGAAAGATCCCACTAACTTTTAACTTTGCGTCAATTTATCTAAATTGTCGTCAAAGATTTGCAAAAGTGGTAAACTGATGAAATGTTTTTGATTTCATGATAAACATTTAATCAGTAAGAGATCTTTTGACATCTTCCACATGAAATGAGATATATGAGCTCAAAGTTGACAAATTGTGCCGCCTTCATATGCCGGCGGCCCTGTAGCTCAGGTGGTAACGACGCTGCAACTCAAACGTTGGACCCACAAGTTCAACTTCTTGAGGGCGCATTTTTTTCAAGCGAAATTGCGAGACTGTTTTCATTTCGCACCTCCTTTGAAAACACCAAAATTCACTTTTTCCATTTGGTACTGCCAGCTTCATTTGGTACTGCAAGCTCAAAATGATAAAGCCTCGCCATGTACCTTCGAACCTAGTACTAGTGCAGATGTTTAGTTGAATTCCAGGAACATGTGTTTTCATTCTTCAATCTATCAAATCTCATTTCCTCAAATACACTTCTTTAACTTCTGTAACTTCTTTAACTTTTCATCCGACCAACTGTGTTCTGTCCTGATCACTCATTTTTGTTCCTTAATCATATTCCCTACTTTTTCATACATCACCTTTCTATATTTTCTGTTAATCATCATTCACATATGACTTGCATTCCACCAACATCATTTTTCGCGACTCCAGAATACTTAAAACTTGCTCTCCATAGAGCAACTGCAATTTCAGTGCCTATTCATTGCTTTGGTCTGTATTGTGTGTTGTTCAAGACGCCAGAACAAATGAAATCTGTAAAATTATATTTCATAAACTTAAATCTTTGGATTGTCCTTTATGATTATTCCGTGTGTATACTAACGGTTCCTCTGCTATTAATACCCACTTTTGCAGGGTATTCACTAGGGATTTTAGAGGATTTTGGAGTCCCTAACATTATACAAACCACTGCAGTATTTTTGTTCCTAATTTGTAAGTTTTTCTGAAAGAAGATTCTTCGAAAGTCAGCATTATTTAGACGTTCTCATTTCCATCCTGGCAATTTTCGAGAACCGATTTCATGTGGTTTGTAATTTTCGGTGGAAAGTCAAATGGACATTGGTTAGAAGATATTGGCTTGGTATACATTATTTTGTGGGACTAGTCGTCCTCATACCATTCTTTTTTCTGGTACCAGACCAAAGAGAAGCGAGGATAGCAGTTTTGAAGGTGGGATTGTTAGAGGGGTGCTCAGTTTTTTTGTTCTCCATTTTTTGCTTTTTGAAGCTGGTCGAGGTACTTAAGCGGTAGGCAAATTACCGACTGAGCTACGGAGCGCTCTACCAAGTTGACTTAGCAACCACAAGCTCATCTGGTAGCTGCGGGGTGCGCCTAAAAGTTTGCCCACGAGTTCAATTCCCAGCAGGGCACTTTTTCTTGGGTCCCATCATCTTTATTCTTTCAGCAACTCCCATGTCTCCCGGACTACATCACCAATGCACCATTATTCATCACCTCCGACGATTACACTTACCATGTCACGAGTCTAGCATTATTTTTAGTTATCGGAATCACTGAAAGTGTCATATTCATCCTTTTGCTAGTTTCCAACACTATACAGCAGCTAAGAGCCAAGAAAATGTCTCAAAAGTTGTTTGAAATTCAGAAGAAATTTTTTATCGCTCTAGTTATCCAAATGCTTGTTCCCTCAATTTTTCTATTGATCCCTTTGTGGTATGCGGTGTTTTCAATCCTGTTCGGTTACTATAATCAGGCAGCTATCAATATTAGCGTAACGATGGAGTCGATTCATGGACTCGTTTCCACACTGGTCATGATTTTTATACACCGTCCCTATCGTGAAGCATTTTTTGATATTTTCGGAAGAAGTCTTGTAATGAAAGATGATCAAAATCGTTCAAATATCAAAGTGGTTCCGGTCATTAGAAATTCTGTTAGCTGAATAAAATTTTGAGTTTTGCAATGAAAGTAACGAACACAGCTAACTTTGAAGCCGTGGAATTCGGCTCAGAATTTTACAAATCGTCTGAAAATTTTTGAAAATACTAAATAACACTAGAGCATAATTTTTATAATTCACAACTTTTTTGTACGAATTCAATATATTGAGATAAGCGATTTTAATGTGTCACCACTCTTATTTCAGGGCTAATTGTGCCATGTTCGCAAGTTTTCAAGTTAGAAACGGCCTATCTCGAACTTGTGGGCCCACCTATTGGGGTGCCGCGCCGCTTCCGGCTGAGCTGCGGTAGCTTCCAACTTTGAACCAATTCATCATTGTTTCTGTGAAATATACTGAAATGAGATCAACTAGCAAAACATTTTTGACATTAAGATGCACCTTTTGTCAATTGACCGCTTTTTGATATCTTTGACAAGAACCGAGATAACTGATAATGGAAGTCACGTCGGAGGTTGGTCAGATTCAGGATACATTCGCTTTTGAAGCGGACCAAACTCCGACAAAATTATGAGAAGGTTCCGACCTAGTAGTATTTCAAAATTCTAATTCCCAGACAGTTTAAAACACACAAGTACCTGAAAGTTCAATTTTCAGATCAAATCACACACAGACAATTTTTTAACCCCTGTTGTATTTAACAAATCCAATTCACTCAGCAAATTTTTGGCACATGTGCCCCTACTTGGGGCACCGGTGCCGCTGCAACGCGGTAATCGTGCCCGGGGGGTCGGGGCACGCATGCGTTTTGCGTGCCGTCGCCGTACCGTTGCCGTGCTCATGTGTGCCGTTTTTTGAATTTTTTTTCCTCGAAATTGGGTGGATTGATTGATTCTCCTTTTATCAAACAGTTTATTAGAAACTCAACAAAAATTAAAACATTTAAAAGATGAGAAAATTTAAATTTGTAGAGAAGATTGCGAAGATAGTGATGATGAAGTTGATGATTTTTGATGAAACTAAGTTTCTTCCTTCTGTTCTCCAGCTTCATTGATCTCGAGCTTGGCTTTGTCTCTCTGGCCTGAAAATAGGAAATAAAACTATCATTTTGAAATATTTTTGAACTTTGTTATTTTCAAAAAACAATGGTCCGTTTTTCACATATTGCTCCCAACTTACATATTTCATTAGAAATATTCCTCGTTGCTGGTCGGAAACTAATTTCTCAATCTTCATTATCCCTCTACGGTCCGACGTCTTTCCTTCTCGTCTCCATAACTGAAACGATTTCCGATATCATTATCAATTGAACATGTCTCAACTTACCGATTTTCCTTCGGTGCCTTTCAAACTCTTTTCAACTCTAAAACATCTGCTACAGCTACTGTCTGAAAACTAAACAGAGACACATTTCATGATTTTCCATCGGAAATGACAAGAGAACACATATAAAAAAACTATAAAACGATAAAAATATGAATTTATGAAAATAAAACGGAAGCTAGTCATTTTCGAAACTCAATGAATAGACACGAGATGCGCAGATGGTTCAAGAAGGGGCACGGCACCGGCACGGTAGCGGCACGCCATACGCGCGCTAGTGGCACGGTTGAGGTGTTCCAAGGGCACTTTGGACGCCGCACGGTGCCGTTTTGATGCAAATCCTGTGCCCCTCTGTGTTTTAGCGTGCGGAAAATTTGCTGAGCAGGTGTTATTTGATTTCCAGAATAAGACATAACAAACTCAAATTCACATCATGTTCTTTTTAACTTGGCACGTTTAAAAATTTTTCGAAATATCTTTCTTCATGAATTCCGTTATAAATTCTACTTGCCATTCTAATGCCGGTTATTTCGATTCTCCCGAGTGTTTATCAATGGCTCTCCATATAAACACAATTATTTCTACACCGATTCATTTATTCGGTTTCTATTGTATCCTTTGGAAAACTCCAGAGTCTATGAAGTCAGCAAAGTGGTACATATTAATTTTACACATTTGGGTTGTAGCTTTTGATTATTCCATCAGTATTCTAACAATTCCGTTTGTTTTGATACCAGCCATGGCAGGATTCCCACTCGGAGTTTTACGATACCTTGGTTTTTCTACAATCAACCAAATTATACTGGGGTTTGGTTGCTTGGGAAGTAAGTATCTCTAGGGATTCAACAAGAATTAAGAAAACAGTTTTGAGGCATGCTCGTCTCCGTAACTGTACTATTCGAGAGTCGTGTGCACACGATTTGCGATTTTCCTGGAAGACATCATTGGACACGGTGGAGACAAGTTTGGGCTATTAGTTTTCATATTTATGGTTGGCTGTCATTTTTATCATTCTCATTATTCGTACCCAATCAGGAGACGGCAAAAGCAAACGTTTTTAAGGTATGTTAATCAAATTTCGTGTTGTTCCCTTTATGACATGTTTTGATATTTTGACCATGTAGCTAGGGGTACATCAGAAAAAATGGAGGTACATCGGTTCACAGGCGCCAAGTTCAAAAACTTCCTCCGATAGACCTGATTGAACCAATATCTACGATGAACCTCAAGATGTCATGCACTCTCTGAACCAAGGCTGGCGAATCGCGACCGCGGCCGGCCGTGGATAGCTTGCCGTGGACCAGTTAGTCCAATCTCTCAAAAATACGTTCAGATTGCCAGAAACCAATAGGGCAGTCAGGCTACCGTATTCCACCTATTTTAGATGTACCCTAACCAAAAAGCTGCGGCCGGCCGTTGTTCTAAACCAGTGAATCATGAAAACTCAATGTACCCTTTTCGATGTACCCTTCAATATCGGACCCACATTTTCAGACCCTACCCTGTCTCTCGCCAAAAATATACGAGTCTGACTTTTTTGTGTTGACCGAAAACATCACTTATCACTTGCTCATATTCATCGCATTTTTCCTTACCTTCGGTATCAAAGTCATTTCTCTTACATTTGGACTTGTCTGGAATACGCTACACCTATTGAAGAGCCAACGAATGTCCCAAAGAACCTACCATCTTCATATCACATTTTTACAAGCTCTCGGCCTCCAAGTATCAATTCCTTTATTCATGTTTGCCTTTCCTATGATTTATATCTTAGTAGCTATTCTTACAAACTATTATAATCAAACACTAATCAATATCGGAGTAATTGGATTATCCATGCACGGATTCTCTTCTTCTCTGGTTCTGGTTTATGTACACCATCCCTACCGTATGGCGTTTCAAGAGTTGTTTAGACCTTCTCATAACAGCTTTCAAATAGCATCACAACACTCGACTAATTATCGACAGGATAACATTCGAGTTGGTGCCTCAAAATTTTGAATGGGTCATTAAATTTTTGAGGCCGTATGTATCCCTATTGTTCATTTTTACAGTAGCTATTCTTAGAAACGATTATAATCAAACATTAATAAATATGGGAGTCATTGAATAATCCATGCTCGGATTTAGTGAAATTTTTTTTCTATTCGTATCGTTTGAGTGAATGACTAACTAGGGTGTTTTGCAGTTTTTCAGGTGTTTCAGGTCATTTTTAAAGGTTATTGAAAGTAAGAAAAAAAAGCGCAGACAGACTTGCTTCTCTAGAGCTCTACTTGAATTCAAAGGCGCATGCCATTAAAATTAACTGGCTAAGGAAAAAAAAAGAAAATAAGAGAAATGTAGCATAACATTTTGCATTATTAGTTAATCACAAATTTTCTATGGATGATGAAGTTTCAACAAGACAATGGGATGGATAGTGACCGCGTTCGCCCGACCACTTACGTTTAGGCGCCTATACAGGGTGGCCCATAAGTATGGAGACTTTTGTTTTTGTGTCTAAAACCTAAAAAAGAGGGGTATCAAAAAAATGAACTTTATTTTCTGATAGAAGAGACCAAGAGAAACAGGTATATCCGAAGATATTCGAAATTTGATCCTCTGGCCTTGATGCAGGCCTTCAGATGATCCTCAAAAAAGGCATTGTGGGCCGCAGGTAGTTGGTGTCTATTTCATCGCATAACTTAAGAAGTTCTTGTTTGAGAAAGTGGAAATTTGGGTGAGAGCAAGTCATGATCCTGTTCTCCAATCAGCTCTAATAAGAAAAATCTAACTCGTTAAGATCTTGCGAGGAGACGAGCCGGAAGTCGTTCTTCCACTGTCGCGTGAAATAAGCTTCGATCGCCGATTTGGTGAAATCTTAGAAATCAACGGTGCTGAACCTTTTTGCATTGTAAATGGGGTTTGGTCCAAGTGGCTGGTAACTCAGAAAAATAAAAAGCCCTTCAAACCCATATTTTGGTAAAAATCCGAGTCGGTATTCACGTTTTTATCACTGTGGACCGGTTGAGCTCTACCTTTCTTCAAAACTTCAAAGAACCATATCTCTGCTCGGGGTCGTAACTTCTAATCGCTGTAGCTTGGCGCAAAATGGGCCGGTTTAAGTTCTAAAAACTGATTTGTAATTCCTATGAACGATGCGTTCAATTTTCACGAGATTCGTAAACTTTCAGGGCCTCCACTTCCTTCACAAATCCTTCCTTCGCTTACATGGAAAGTTCCGTTCGGCCACTTGTCTTGTAAATGACTCCTGGCAAGTGAAACTAGCAGAATTTGGGTTGGAGTTTCTCCAGGACGAAGAGGAACGTCCAACTCAGAAACGTCTTCTCTGCGCGTCTCCAGAAGTGCTACGCGGTTCACTTACAGTATCCCAAATGGATCCGAACGCCGATGTGTATTCATTTGCAATTGTTGCCTAGGAGATTTTAACAAAAAAAGGAGGCGTGGGATTTGCACAAGAGAAAGGAGGGTTATGAAGGTGAGATATCAGAAATTCGAAAAGGAACATTCTAGCTCGCCTAGAAGCGGCTTAAAGACGCAGACAGCGAGACACACTGACTGTCTGGCCTTTTCCAACTTCGAACATCCGTATCTCAACTTCTAGAAGTGCTAGAAGCCTGTTTTCTGGATATTATTGTGACTCGAATTGTCAGTATTTTGAATCCCAAAACTTTCAGAAATCATCTACAATGTCAAAAAAGGGGGATCCAATCTTTTCCGGCCAAACCTTCAAACGGATTCTGATGTCAACAAGTATCTCATCGCGTTGGTGAAAGATTGTTGGTCGGAAAACCCAGAAGACCGTCCGAATTCTGAAAATATCTGTAAATAGATTTTCGATATGACATCCAGGACCAAAGATAATCTAATGGATAATGTATTTTCTTTGTTGGAAGAGTATACGCAAAGTTTGGAAGTTGAGGTGGAGGAAAGGACCAGAGAATTGATTTGGAGAAGAAGAAATCGGATATTTTGTTAGGGAGAATGTTGCCGAAGTGAGTGGCGTTCTTTCTGTTAAAAAACGAGCTTTCTAGGTCTTTTCGTAACAAAGATGAAAGTGAGATACGCAAGAAACAGAACACTCTAGCTGTCTGCGTCTCTCCAAAACTACAAATGCCAGTTTCTCGGCTCCTAGAAGACTGAGAACCTTGGTTCTTGAACCTCCTACCAATTTATATAATACTTTCAGACAAGTCGCAGAACGTCTGAAAGCCGGCCAAGCAGTGGAACCTGAAAGTTTCGATCTAGTTACCGTATTCTTTTTGTATCTTGTCAAATTCACGGACTTGGCCAATAAATGTTCCCCTTTTCAAGTTGTGAATATTCTCAACGAAGTTTTCAGCAATTTCGATGCTATTATTGAAAAACATGATGTTTACAAGGTGACTGAGAAACTAGTATTTTTGTTTTTGACCCATTTTTTGCAGGTTGAATCTATCGGTGACGGTATTCTCTGTGTATTCGGGTTGCCCAATAGGAATGGAGTAGAGCATATCAGGTAAAGAGAAGAAAAAAAGAAATAGGGCGAACCGGGGATTGAACCCGGGACCTCTGGCATCCAAAGCTAAAATCATACCACTAGACCAGTCGGTCACACAATAAAAGCGCGCTTCTTTTCTGCCTTAACTTTCAGCCGATTTATTCCTGCTTGAATCATTTTTTTTTTCAGACAAATCGTCGATATGGCTTTAGGATTTCTAGAATATCGAGATAAATTTCGAATTCCACACTTGCCAAGAGAGCGAGTTTAGCTAAGAGTTGGAGTTAATAGTGGTAATATTTTAATTAATTTGAATTCCCACCGAACAGCCTTTCCTCTTCAGGACCCTGCGTAGCTGGTGTGGTTGGCCTGTCAAAGCCACGTTACTGTCTGTTTGGGGATACTGTAAACACTGCGTCGAGGATGGAGTCAAATGGAGAAGCGTCGTTAATTCACATGTCTGAAATTGCTCATTCTCTTTTATCCGATCATTTTCTTTATCAATACGAGACCAATTCCCGAGGAGAGGTTATAATTAAGGGAAAAGGAGTTATGGAAACGTTTTGGTTGCTTGGACGGTTGAGCATGAGCAATCGATCGACTCCACCTGTTGCAGAAGTCAAAAACATGTGTAAAAAGCGTTCGAGCTTCCCGGATCACGAAAATATCCGTTCTGTAAGCCCCTATTCTGAAATCGCTAGCGATAGTGAGGATGAGGAAATGAGGAGGATTATGCGGCGAGAGATGATGAGAGTTGGTTGAATAAAGTTTTTAAATTCATTTTTATGTTTAAAAAAATCAATAATTTCAGCAATATTAAGCACGAAAATTCCGTTCAGAAACAGGCACATCACTTATAATATAAGCCCACTCAAACCGTCAACTTTTAGCCAATTTATCTCAGTTTCTGTAAAACATACCAAAAAGTGGTCAACTGATGAAATGTTTATCATAACATCACCCATATTTTATTAGTTGACAAATGTTTTAGATCTCTCATAGGAACTGAGATAATTGAGCTCAAAGTTGACGTTTTGGGTGAAGTATTACTGAGGAAACACGGTATTTTTCGACAGGAGAATATTCGAAAAACTTTGATAACGACAAATCTGATATGTATAATTTGCCAGGTGATATGTATAATTCTAAATGCCGAAAAGAGCCACACTGAAATTTCAATCAACCAATTCTATGAGTTCTATATATTATGAACAATACGCACTCAACTTGTATCTCCAACGCTGGCTATTTTGATTCTCCCGACTTCCTAGCATTCTGCCTCCACACGAACACAATTATTTCTACACCGATTCATTTATTCGGTTTCTATTGTATCCTTTGGAAAACTCCAGAGTCTATGAAGTCAGCGAAGTGGTATTTGTTAATTTTACACATTTGGGTAGTGGCCTTCGATTATTCGATTAGTATACTAACAATTCCGTTTGTTTTGATACCAGCCATGGCAGGATATCCTTTAGGAGTTATCAAATACCTAGGCTTATCAACATTGAATCAGGTCATTGTGGGATTTGGTTGTCTAGGCAGTGAGTGTATTGGCGAACATTTCTGTAGCTCACATGAGTTGTTCAGGCATGGGTGTTTCCATAGCTGTACTGTTTGAAAGTCGCTTCCACACAATTTGCACATTCCCCGGTAAACGTCATTGGACTCGATGGAGACGGCCGTGGGCTTTCAGCTTCCATGCTTATTGTTGGCTGACATTTTTATCGTTCTCGTTGTTCGTACCCGACCAAGAAACGGCAAAGCAAAATGTTTTTAAGGTGAGTGTCGTTGTGTATTAAACACTTGAACAATTTTCATATTTCATAGTCTCTACCATGTCTGCCACAACAGGTATACAACGGTGACAATTTTGTGCTAACCGAAAATGTCACTTTCCACTTGGTTATATTTATGTCGTTCTTTTTCACAGTTCTTCTCAAATCGATTGCTCTTGCATTAGGGTTACTTTGGAGTACAATACGCCAACTACAGAATCGAACCATGTCTAAAAAAACGTTCCATCTTCATATTCAATTTCTGATGGCTCTTGGAGCTCAAGTATCAATGCCTTTGTTTCTGTTTGCCTTTCCACTGATCTACTTTCTTGTATCTTTCCTAAAAAACCATTATGATCAAACTCTTACGAATATTGGAGTCATAATGTTATCAATGCATGGATTCTCATCTTTATGGGTCATGGTTCTTGTACACCGTCCGTATCGTGTTATGTTTTATGATTTGTTCAAAAAGTCTAAAATTAGTTCTCGAATACCATCAATTAATCCACTGGTTTATCAACAAAATCGCAATTGATAATTTTGTTCAAACAATTGGCCAGTTAAATCACAGTTATACTAATATGTTAACCAATTCTTCTTGAATTGAAAGTTTTCAAAACTATTTGTTTGACTTGAAATAAAAACAATTCGATCTGAACTAGTGTCAAAATTAGAAGCATGATCTCCGGCGTTTTTCAAAAAATAGAAAAAAATACGGCTGCAATCAGTTACGATATAATTTTTGTTGTTATTAAATAATAACATGCTCCCAAGGCTAAACAGGTGAATTGTTAATTCAAAGCTAATCAACGTGCTCAATTCAATTGTGCTCATGAATTCTACATGCATCCCGGATATTGGATATTTCGACTCTCCGGAGTTTTTATCATTGGTTCTCCATAAAAATACAATTTTTCCACACCAATTCACTTATTCGGTTTCTACTGATTTGGAGAACACCAGTGACTATGAAATCAGCAAAACTGTATCTAATGAATTTGCACATCTGGATTGTTTTGTTTGATTATTCGTTTAGTATTCTAACGACCCCATTTTTGCTATTACCTCATTTCGCTGGTTATCCCCTGGGACTATTAAGTTGGTATGATATCGTCTTTGTTGCAAGTGAGAAGTTATAAATTGTGAGGGATTATTTTTTATCACGCTGTTGCAAGTTGTTTGACACTGTTGTTCGGTTTTTGATACCTGATCAAGAAACGGCGAAAAGAAATATGTTTGCGGTACGTTAGTCTGAAATCAATTTGTATGAAATTGTTCTCAGAAACTCCCATGCCTACCTCAATACATTCATGAAGCCAATGTCATTGTCTTATGTGAAGACTGAACTTATCATCTGGTATGTATTGCGGCAGGGTATGTATCTTCGCCTTTTGGTATGTATGTTGTCAATTTTCCCCATTGTCTTGGGACACTGACAACTTGAAAACGCTATAACCCAGAGTCCCCCGATTTTCCCCATAAAATCCCTCTGGATCCTAAACGATCTACAACGGAAAACAGAACAAGGGAGCATCTACAAAAAATAGATGCAGTCGAAGAAAAACTCTGGGAAAGTTGGGCGCTAGGGTACCTCCTGCATCTAAGAGAATCGAAACACAAAAACAAAAAATGCTCGACTCTGAAGCCAAAAGTGGGACAAGTTGTTTTGATCAATACAAATCTAGTCAGATGCCACAAGTGGCCATTGGGAATCATCACAAAGGTCTTTCACTCGAAAGAAGGAATCAGAACCGCAGTAGTGAAATGCAAAGGAAAACTTTACGAAAGATCCGTTTGTCATCTCATCCCGTTGGAAATCGAATCAGTGGAATCCCAAGAATGTACTCCAGACAATGTGAATACAGATGAGGATCCCGGATACAAATCCATCCCAAATCCACCACTACCCGCAATTTTCGATATTCCACAAGCTGAGTACGTTCCAAAGCGATTCAAAGATTCCAAGAAAAACTTTGTGCCAAGTGCTGGGAACCTCCCAACTGTCGGAGAACGTGATCCCGAAGAGGAAATCAATTATGACACCCAACATCTGGACACGGAGCCAGTAGACGGAGAATACAGAGACCCAAATGAAACAGCAAAGCAGATTCTGGACTACGGTAAAAATGCTGTACCGGATACAAGGACAAGAGAGTACCTACCAAGGAAAGCGAAAGCACCTTACATCAACTATGTCCATGCTACAGTAGTCTCTTCGTCTGGGGCCCGGCCCCCCCCCCCAATGTTGTCAATTTTCCCCATTGTCTTGGGACACTGACAACTTGAAAACGCTATAACCCAGAGTCCCCCGATTTTCCCCATAAAATCCCTCTGGATTATCCGTTTCAATCGTGTCATATTCATTCCCCTTCTTATCACACTCCGTTCACCAATCACAATCAATTGTTTCGTTCACTAACTTAAATATAATTTGAATAAGCGCCAACACGTGCCGCGACACGCGTCGCGCCGCTCGGCATTGGCGCCGACATGAGCGGCGCATTCAGCGCACGCTCACAGACGAATTGTTCGTTTCAGGGAGACGGGTATCTCCCCCTTTTGACCGCTATGCGGTCCCTTTCTACTTTTATTATAGTTTCAGACTATTTCCTACGTTTGGCAGTGTTATGGTTTTGCTAGCAACAGTTTTTGAGGGCAGCAAGGTTTCCTCCGGTAGCTCCCAGGAGGTTTTAGTCCTACACCTTTACCTCTTTTCTGTATCGCTTTCTTTTACCCATTACTATTGTCTTTGCCGTTTATTCGATCCTCTTTCCTTCAATAAATTGGGATTCGAATAGCTTGTGTACTGCTATGCACTTGCACCGCTTATCTTACACATTGGGGGGGGGTTTGGGGGTCTTTTACAGGTAAACAAGTCTCTCTGGTTAGGACGTTGGATCGGTCTCGGCTGACCTCGGATCCACTGTCAACATCTTCGCCGCTGTCATGGTTCTCTCATTCACTGCTTTTCTGATGTGGAACGCAGTAGCTCAACTAGGAAGCCGTACTATGTCCCAAAAGACTTTCCAACTTCAAAAAGCGTTTCTCATAGCATTAGGAATTCAGACATTAATGCCCTTCTGCTTCATTGCATCACCTGCGAACTATGTATGGATTGCAGCCATGATCTACTATTACAATCAAGCGTTCACAAATTTCGGAGTTTGTTTATTATCCATGCATGGGGTTTCGTCTTCAATGATCATGATCTTTGTACTTCGCCCTTATCGAGATACATTGTTTGGTTTTTTAAGGATACAGTGGCAGTCATGTCCAAGGAACATTCTTTAAAACAATTCTTTCGTCATAATCGCGACGTTTCTGTCGTAGTTGTTGCGACTTGATTTTTTTATTAATAAATTTAACATTTTATTTTTGAAACAAGTCTATCGAAACTGTGTATTCAATTTTCGCCAAAGCCACAAACTATTTTTTATCACAGTAAATTGAAAAAAATTATCTTGGATTTCACAGCAGATTTCTTCGGAACGCCGTTTCTAGATCCTCCATCAGCATTTCATCTTGCTCCTGATCTAGTTGAATGCTCCCGGCTCCAGCTCCAGCTCCAGCTCCAGCTCCAATACCCGGCATCCAGAACCCGTGTTCCAAAACTCGGGCTCCAGAACCCGGACTCCAAGACCCGAGCTCCAGGAGCCGGGCTCCAGAACCCGAGCTCCAGGCAAAAATTTGAATTTTTTATATCATAGGCTTATCAACAAAACATTCAGCCATGAAAAATGGCGAAAAACCCAAATTTGCAGTTTCTAAAAAATATCGACCGAGGGTTCGAAAAAGTACGATATGAAAGACTTTTGGGACACAGAGCGAATTCCAACTGAGAATGAACAATATATTTTTTTTCATTTTTCAGTTTTTTGACTTTTGCGGTTCCACATAAAGATACGTTCACCCATTTTTTCCCATTTTTTTTTCCACTTTTTTCCCATTTTTTTCCCATGTTTCAGCACCATACTCTTTAATTTTAAACTTTTTGTATTCCCTTCGACTGTTCAAACGATGTGACGTAAAAAACCACTGACTGATTTCAAAAAAGGTCAAATTACAGCCAAAAATGCCCAAAACTTTTCAAACTGTCAGATGGCTCAGAATTTAGGAAGATCCTCAGACATGGTCAATCGATTTGTCAAGAATTCGTTAAGTTACGGTACAAATAGCTTTTCCGGACGTCATTCTCTCATTACAGTCCGAGAAAAACGTCAAATCCTATGAAAAGCGCTTAATGTTGTGACCAGTTGTTCCAAAATCAAGAGTCGTTTGAAGCTTACTGTATCGAATAAGACAGTTTGACGTGTCATCTAGAAAAGCAAGTTCATCAATTATCAAAAGACGAAAGAAGCACTTATGCTGACATCAATCCATCCCAAAAACGTAGTGGAGCATTTACCTCCTCTGACGTTGCATCTCTAAAATTGATGTTTATCTTTTCTCCAATCATGCCAATAAGAATTGTAGCCGTCTGGATCATCACAGTTGATATTTTTCTTGTCAAAAAATATAATCTGAAACTGTGCTGAACATTTAGGAAAGTTTTCGTAATCCGTATAAAAGATAAACTTTAATTTTAGAGATGCAATGTCAGAGGAGACAGTTTCGATTAACTTGTTTCAAAAACAAAATGTAAAATTTATTAATAAAAAAATCAAGTCGCAACAACTACAACAGAAACGTCGCGATTATGACGAAAGAATTGTTTTAAAGAATGTTCCTTGGACATGACTGCCACTGTATCCTTAAAAAACCAAACAATGTATCTCGATAAGGGCGAAGTACAAAGATCATGATCATTGAAGACAAAAACCAGCTCTGTTTCTAATGGCGGGGCTCAACTTCTTTGGGTTGCGTTTGTGCTGGCACGAGGGTGGTCTGCCGGCAAAAGGTCTCATTCCGTCGAAGAATTATTTTTAAGAGTCTCCAAAATTGTGTTAAAACAAACTTGAACACATGCTTGAAAATTTCCTTGCACGAAAAGCCCCATCGTATTGTTGTCTGACTAGTGACAGGCCATTCTTTCTCGGGGATCAAAATGGAGAAATTGGCTTGGCACTCCTGTTGAACATGTTTTGTCGTCTGAGCAGGCGCTATATACTTTTGGAAAGTCTAAATTTGCTATTCAAAGTTAGATTATGATACAGGCAGTATGATTTTTACTCAAAGTAGTTTTCTTGGTACACTTGCAGACCAGGCCCCACCAAAAACAGCGATTTTTCCCCAATTCGGGTGATTCCTCCAAAACTCATGGTTTGCAAAAGATTGGCTGCCTAGAAAATCAACAGACTATTACTATTAGATAGCCAAGAAAATTGTGCTTATACATAACAATTTTTAGAATTGAGTTTTGCCTCTAAGCTGAACAGTGTCTCATCAATGAACGCGGTGGTCAAGCGCGTGCCAGAAGGTCAAGAAAAACATCAAAGGACGCGTACAGAAAATAGTGCCGTTTTCGTAAAAATTGTGATAAGGACATGAAACTTTGCACATCTACCAATGAAGAGACGAGGAATATTATAAACATGAAAGCAAGACCTGAAAAGTGTGCCGGCGCGCAACAGCTTATGTCAAATATTTGTTGCCAAACTTTTTCCCCACCCTGGTATAGTATAATAGAGTGGTTTTCATCTTCAAGGATGTTATAGTAAACCAGCAATAAACAGTTTTTACCAAAAAACATTGATTCCTTTAACAATTCTCAGCTTATATTACGATCAAGAAACGACTCGAATGAAAAAATGTTATGATTTCGGCGGCTAAATGTCTTAACTTCGTCAGAAATGAGACAGGTGAAAGATGAACTCAAAGCCACTCTTTGTGCTCAATTCAATCAGTTTCATGAATTCTACATGCATCCCGGATATTGGATATTTCGACTCTCCGGAGTTTTTATCATTGGTTCTCCATATCAATACAACTATTTCCACACCAATTCATTTATTCGGATTTTACTGTATTATATGGAAAACTCCAATGGCTATGAAATCAGCAAAATTGTATCTGCTGAATTTGCATATCTGGGTTGTTGTGTTTGATTATTCGTTAAGTACTCTAACCATTCCATTTTTGCTGTTACCTCATTTCGCTGGTTATCCACTGGGAATATTAAGTTGGTTTGATGTATCAGTTTTGCTTCAGATCACTATGGTGTTCATTTTTGTGGGAAGTAAGAAGTCATAGGTTGTGAAATCATTACTAATAACATTCACCAAATTCCGTATGTCCGGATGGATGTAGCGTGTCTGTTCACCCATTCAAAGTTAACCGATTGAGCTGAAACATAGACAGACGAATCGGAAATTTTTATTAGTTTTTGCCCGACCCTTTCTATTTTCGAAATTTTGATTCTGAAGTCTTCTGGAGACGTTCCTTTGTTTCACCACAGTCAAGCGTGGTGGGCAGAGAGGGCGATGGTGGAGGGCGAGAGAGGAAAAGGGGGAGAAAATCCCAAACACGTGTACGCCATTTCTCACTCTCTTACAGTTATGACCGAGTAGTGTATTGGTTAGCGCTCTCCGCTTTTGCCCGCGCGATGCGGGTTCGAGTCCGACCGGTGGAAATTAATTTTTGTTTTTTTAATCAGATCTCAAAAGGGATTTTGAAAAGTGGATGTGTTTTTTCTCTTCAGTTCAAAAAAAAACACAAAAAAAGAAGAAACTTTATGGATCAGTTTTTTTCGTTCAGAGTGAACAGAAAACGTTCGAATGAAAATTAGGTAGATGCATTAGAAACGTTCAAGCTCTTACTTCTCTAGAAAGAGCTTCAAAGACCCTAAAATTTTGATGAGTAAAAAAAGCCGAAGGTCGAAATCCCGAATGTGCAACAGGCAGGTTCGAGTCCGATCGGTGACAACTTTTTTTTGTTTTTTGTAGAGAGTTCAGAAGTGAATATGACAATGTCTGAGTGTTTTTAATCAGTTTGAATGAAACCCTAGCAAAGATTTTCCCCGTTTCATTAGTTTCAAGCTGAAAGTAGAAAAATTTTTTTCACCGATATGAAACTTTAGAATTTTAGAGTGTTTAAATTTCCAAGTTTTGAGTCTTCTAATTCAAATTTCTTGAGTTTCGAGATTTCCGGATCGTCAGAAAAAATCATAAAGGGAGAAATACAGGAACTTCGAACTATAGGAACTCTCAAAATCTCCAACATAGGAACTCTCTGAAGTTGAAAATCAAATAAGAACTGAAGTTTTCGAGATTAAGGTTTCAAACTGTGGACGTTTTGAATCCTAATCTCTGGCCTTACACTTCCTAAATTTACCAACTTCTCAAAGTTTAGAAAATGAAACATTCAAATATTCAAAACTCCAGAAGCTAGAAAATTTGAAAACTCGGAAACTTGAAAATTGAACAAATATGTATGATTTTTGAAATTCTGAGTTCGAAAATATAAGATTTCAGAAACTCGGAAATTTTGAAATTTTCATCCGAGGTTCAAAATCAAAAAAGAACTTTCGGATTCGCATATAAAATGTTGAGTTCCGAGATTTCCTATAAAAGAGGCTCAGCCCCTGTGAAGTGTAAACCGACTTTTCTATTTCCAGTTTTAATTTCAGAGTTAGTCTCAGAATTTTGAAATAAAAAAACCTTGACAAGGTCTTCAAAATTGAAGTTTTCGAACTTCGGAATTTCCAACAGAAGTTCTGTAAATTTTGAATACTGTACTTCCTCTAATACATAGAAACCCACCCGCAAAGTGTTTCGAAAAGTAGAAGACCGCCCTCTAATACATAGAAGCCCATGGGCTTCAACTAGAGAAAATACGGTAATTCAAAATACCAGAACTTTTGAAACTGAGATTTTAGAACTCGAAAGTTTCTCAATTCCTGAACTTTCTAATGTCTAAATTTCGGAATTTCGGAATTTCTGATTTTTAGAATTTCAGACATTTTTCCCGGAAATTCAAAATTCCTGAATTTCAAATTTTGAGATCGCGGGATCTCAGAATCGCTTAAATTCAGAATTTTGGAATTTAGAAGTGCAAAATGAAAGTTTCGAATTTTTGCATGAATTTCAGAATTCTTAACTTCCGAATTGCCAAACTTCTGATTTTTTGAAAATAAATCGCTGAAAAACAGAAGCCGACCCTCTAATGGAAATCCACCGTGAAAAAGAAGTTGAAAAATAGAAGTTCATGGGCTTCTATCAGTGGAATGACGGTATCTTAAAATTTCTAATACCTAATACACTGAATTTCACAATTTACAATTTCGAGGTCCAGGAGGTTCAGCCCCGAAGGGGCGCAAACCGACTGGTTGTTTTATATTTGCAAAGCATGCTTCCAGATTTGGTGATCTCAATTGTCGCAATTTTCGAAAGCCGTTTTTATACAGTATGTGAATTCACTTGGAAGCCTTACTGGAAGCGTTGGCGTAGAATCGGGATTATTTACTGTCACATTATTGTGAGCTGTTTAACACTGGCATTCGGATTCTTGGCTCCTGATCAGGAAGCGGCGAAAAGAAATATGTTCGCGGTACGTCAGTCTGTAATCAATTTGTATGAGATTGTTCTCAGAAACTCCCATGCTTACCTCAATACATTTATGAAGCCAATAATTTTGTCTTATGTGAAGACTGTACTTATCACTTACTATGCCTCGTGGGGGTTGGTCTCAGTGCTTTTTTTATGGGTATCTCATTTGCATTTTTTCTGATGTGGAACGCAGTAGCTCAACTAAAAAGTCGGACTATGTCCCACAAGACTTTCCAACTCCAGAAAGCATTTCTCATAGCTTTAGGAGTTCAGGTATTAGTGCCTATATGCTCGTTTGCATTGCCTGCTATATATTTATGGATTGCACTCATGCTCTACTATTACAATCAAGCGTTTACCAATTTCGCAGTGTGTTCATTATCATTACATGGGTTTTTGTCTTCGATGGTTATGACATTAGTGCATCGCCCTTATCGAGAAACATTGTTCAGTTTATTCCCGAAGAAGATGTCAGCTAGATCAGAAGAAAATCCTATCAAAAGATTAGCGCGTTATAATCGCGATGTTTCTGTTGGAGTGATCACATCTTGATTTCTGATAAATTCTATATATATTAGGCCAGATGTATTTTCAAAACTTTCTCAGTTTTCCTATAACATCATTTTTTTATGTAGGCGATTTGGGTTGTTATGAGTATATTGGTCAAGATTAGACAGGTGACGTATGAACGAAAGGTTGATCAATATGTTGAGTTCAATCATACTCGTGAAATGCCGTACGGTAGATGAGGAAAAAGGGAGAAAAACAACAAATTGAAATGAGCAGTAGACCTTCGGTGTGCAAAAATCGCTAAGCAAAAATGCAGAAAAAGTTCTGAAACAACGGATCCTGGACAGGAGCCTAAAACTTGCTGAAATGTGGAAGGTTTGGTAAGCTTCGTTGGCCTGAGATACAGGCGCGGCAAGGCTATTGAATATTAAAAAAAAAAAGAAAATGTGGATCTGACGTTTCCACCGAAACAAATCGATTAGACTTCTGCTCAAATCAATATCCTTTTTGAGAATTAAATAAAGCAGGAATTTGCCCAAATTCTCTTGAACTAATGGGTTTGAAAAGAACCTAGTTTAGATAAAGACTAAAACACGGCTCGAATAAGGAAATGATATGAATAAAATTATTTCCACACCGATTCATCTATTCGGATTCTACTGTATTATACGTAACATAGTTGCAAAAGGCCGGCCGGGCCGGGCCGGGCCGGTAGACGAATTTTCTCGACCCGTCCCGGCCCAACCCCGGGTCGGCTTGCCTAACACAGTTGAAAATTTTCAATGAAAAAGTGGGTAATTTTTTTGAATTAAAAAATAAAAAATATTACATTATTTAGCGAAATTAACAGAACACCTCGGCTGTCGGCTTGCAACTTCTGGACGGAAGTTGAGGGGGGTTCGACTTATGGACGGATCTTAGTCAGATTTTGGCCGGAAATTGAAGGCGCTGCGTGCGCGTTCTTCCCTCATTTTAAATGTGTTTTCTGAACTATTTTTTTCCCTAAAACACCAATTTTTGAAGTATTTTTTTCAGACAAGTACTTTGGAGACAAAAACAGACGATTCTCGAAAAAAAAGTACGAAACTCATCGGGTAATTTTTTCTTTAAAATTTTGTCGTTTAATTTAGATTTTTCCAGAAGAATGAAATTCAAGTCAAATTTTCAACGCCAACTGCTTGGGGGATATTGCATCGAACAGGTAATTATTTGTTGAAAAAAACTGAATTTTTGAAAGTTTTGTTTCCAAGATTAAAAAAAAAGGATGCTAGAAAATGCGAAGAAAAACAAGATAGTTAATCAGGTAAATTCCTATTTTCTGAATTAATATCTAATTTTATTCACATTTCAGGCATAGCCTCTTTTCTCGTATTCGTCACGATTCACAGCGACATCTTCAAATTTTTAAAATCTGATTCCCGATTTTCTCAATTTTCTATACTTTTCCTGATTTTATTCATTTTCATGTATAAATGTTTTTTCAAATAAATAAAATACTATATAATGTGCTGTTTTGCTTTTAAAATAACAATAAGTGCGAACCGAACCGGCCCCTGCTGTTAAGACATCGGAAGTTGGCCGGTAGTTTGTCGGATCTTGGTCGGCTTCCCACAATGTCTTTGCCGGAATCTGACCAAGCTCCGGCCAGAAGTTGCCGGCGACGCCTGAGACGCTCTCCCACAGAACAGTTTTGAACTGCAAAATTATTTTTGATCTACCTGAAAAATTTCGGTGTGGCAGGTCTGGAGCAAAACTTCCTGACTTTTATCTGGCTTTGTGAATATTCAAGATGATTCGAATGATTTTTGAAAAATTGATTAGTAGTCATAGAATCCTATATGGTCCTTTTCCAGAAGAAAATATTCCAAATAAAACCATTTTTCAAGATTTTTAACAGAAAAAACGGAACTCCTCATTCATTTTTCAACATTACTAGGTGTTCTATGGCTCAAAAGAACCGCACCATTTTGCTTTTCAATTCGTATAGAAAAAATTTTTGGTCTTCCTGGTCAAACTTTTTTTAGAATCAAAAAACCTCACGAAATCGCATTTTTACTGTTTTTCGATTCTAAAAAAAAGTTTAACCAGGAAAACCAGAAATGTTTTTTATAAGAATTGAAAAACAAAATTTTGCGGTTCTTTTGAGCTATAGAACACCTGACAATGTTGAAAAATGAATGAGGAGTTCCATTTTTTCTGTTAAAAATCTTGAAAAATGGCCTTTTTTGGAATATTTTCTTCAGGAAAAGGACCATAGAGGTTTCTATAGCCACTAATCAATTTTTTAAAATTTATTTGAATCATCTTGAGTACTCACAAAGTCAGATAAAAGTTTTGAAAAAATGCTTTAGACCTGAAATTAGGCTTCAGATCAATATTTTTCATGTATATCAAAAATGGTATTGCAGTTCGGCGAAAAAAAAATTCAAAAAAAAATCAGGGTCAGTAGGAACCCCGGACCGGCCGGGTCGGGAAGGGCCGGCAAATGGCAATTGTTGTAAAAAAGTTTTCCTGATATTTTGCATAGAGAACCCCCATGAGAGGTTGAACTCATGACAGGCAGCTCAGGGGTACAGCGCCGCTACCGGCTGAGCTACGGGGGCGCGAAGGCGCCTGACGACCGATGGTCTACATAAGCGCGGCGCGGTGTCGTCCCCCGAAATTTTTGCTGTCTCGCCTCCTTTAAGTACTCTAAGCATTATATTTTTGCTATTACCACAATTTGCTGGTTATCCTCTGGGGTTGTTCAGTTGGTTTGATCTATCAGTTTTGTTTCAGGTCACTATGGTGTTCTTTTTTCTTGCGAGTGTGTCTTAAATTGTGAAAGTATTCCAAATCAGCCAATAGTATCCTTTCAGACGCAATCGCCTCAATTATCGCAGTTTTTGAAAGCCGGTTTTATACAGTATGCGAATTTGCCTGGAAGCCTGTGGGGAGCAAGTTCAAGATCTCATGTTGCCCTGAAAGTCAAGTAAAATTTAAGCCGCTTCGGCGGGAGCTGATGCTGTCAATCTCACGGCCTCGGGGAAGGGAACCCAGATTTAAAAATTGGAAAGCGCGCAAGTTTTGGACGCGTTGCGCGGTCGCGTCGCGGCTTTTCGGTGAGCAGCGACTCAACAACGCTTAACTTCACGTTTTTTTCAAAACGTTTTGAAATTTTCGAATCTGGTACGCATCCAACTTTTGTGTGCGACGAAGCGCGCGTTTTTCAGGTTCCCAACCGCGATGCCGAGAAACATTGTTAAGTTTCTTCTCCAATAAAATGTCAGCAAGATCCGAAGAAAATTCTGTCAGAAGATTTGCCCGTTGTAAAGCGCCTTTTCTGTTGGAGTTATTGCAAGTTGATTTTTGATAAATTCTATATTATATTTTTTTGTCCTCTTTAGAACAGGTGGATTTGAAATTCTGTTGACACTGAATCTCTAGGTGGGAGTGAGATGCTACGGAAGAATGAGCATCAAACTGATTATTTTCAAACAGATACCGACTTGTTGCTTTCAAAAGAGGCGCTTCCAAAACGTCAAAAAATGGCAATTGTTGTTAAAAGATGATTCGAGGGCCCAAAAACTTCTTTTTTGAAACAGGAAGCCATTCTTGAAATCTGTCATGATCTAAGCATGTTTGACAGCTGAAATTAGAGATACAGTACCGCCCAAAAGATATCAACTTTTGGTTTTTCGACTGTAACTTTCTTAAAAATAGAGGTGAAGAGTCAAACTTTTCTGTAAAATGTAGCAAATAACCTGAAAAAAATAATGCAAAAACATTTCAAACCCGAAAACAGAGGAAAAAAATTTTAGCAACAAAATTCGCTTTTTGGAAAATTTTTGATTTTTGGACGATTTTTTTCAAAATTCTGGAAAAAATAGAAAACGATTATGTGTTTGGAATATACAATTTCAACATGGTTTAAGAGAAATTTGCCTACTTTTGAGCAAATAATAGCTCATAGAAACACAATTCTGTATATGATATGGTCGTTCGAAGTGTCAACTAGAGATTTCCGGCTTCTGGACAGTTTCTACTATCGTTCCACAACTTAAAGTGGTCAATATTCGATACGTTTTATGTTTTTATCGTTTTGCAAAGTCTTATTCTATATTATATATCATTAATTTTCACTCGAAAAAGTGCTTCTTTCAGCTCCGAGCACTGGTTTTTAGAATTGTGAGGCAAGCTAAAACAAGCGTAATGTTAACCTTAAAGATGGGGGGACATGAAAAAAATAATGTTCTCGAAATTCCGTTCAAATATGCCCCCCGAGGAGTTGAACTTGGGGGGGGGGCGAGGATTGAGGGTGCGGCGCCGCTACCGACTGAGCTACACGGGCAAAGAAAAAACGGTCGCCCGATTGCATACATAAAGGCGAGGACGACAGCTGTACGCAGAGTGACATTAAGCGTTGTACACCGTGACAGTAGAATGCATACCCTGGCTCCAATAAATACCCGAAAAATCTCCTGTCCCCCCACCTTTAAGTCATTCTGGTGAGATCGGTTGAGGGAAATCCGTGTTTTTTCTTATAGATATCAATACTACAGTTTTGTTAGAACCTATAAAACATGATTTCCGGTTACGAAAAAAGCTTATTGAAATGCTAGAAAACATCTAAAAAACATTTCATTGAGTAAAATACTGATCAAACAGACTACTGCTTCAGTTTCAGTTCCTGAGTGTTCCATTCATTTGTTTTAACAATGTATTTGTAAGAAAAAATTGTTGTAACTATTTCAGGATGTTTAACACAAGATTCCATATCTTTCGAGACCAAATGATCAATCTAACCTAACACAGGAATTTTATAACTTGAACCCCGCTCCAAAACAGATCGCAAAACTGAGAATGAGCATCTCGTAAGCGGAAATCATGTTAAAAGGAAATCAGGGCAAATTTCTCTTAAATCATGTTGAAATTGTATATTCCAAACACATAATCGTTCTCTATTTTTTCCAGAACTTTGAAAAAAATCGTCCAAAAATCAAAAATTTTCCAAAAAGCGAATTTTGTTTCTAAAATTTTTTTCTCTGTTTTCGGGCTTGAAATGTTTTTGCATTATTTTTCTCAGGTTATTTGCTACATTTTACAAAAAAGTTTGACTCTTCACCTCTATTTTTAAGAAAGTTACAGTCGAAAAACCAAAAGTTGATATACTTTTGGGCGGTACTGTACCATCAACCATTCGTCAGCAACCATTAGTCATTTATAGGCTGGGCACCGTCTCACAGCTCTAACTTCAACAAATCGGTCGCCAGATCTGATACTGAGCCAGTGTGCCTTATCGGCAAAGATTTTCCGATTTTGTCGACAAACTTACGTTTTGTCGACAAACTAAATTATCTATAAATTTGTCGATAAAAAACGATAAAATTTTGTCGATAAATTGTCGACAAATTATCGGTAAATTTGTCGAAAGTAATTTATCGACAAATTTATCGACAAAATTTTGTCGACACGTTGTCGATAAATTTGTCGAAGAGGGCATTCGTCGACAAATTATCGACAAAAATTGCTATTAACCGCAGGAATTACTTGTAAAAAATCGTATTTCATATTTTTCTAGGCCATCTGACCTGGTGGCATACTTTTCCAAACATGAATTTTCTAGGCCACCAAACTTTTTGACCTGAAAATGATCTGATGTTAACATGGTGCATTTTTAAGCCATTTTCACATGGTGGCCTAACTTTCGCAAGTTGAGTTTTCTAGGACACCAA